TCGGATTGAATCCTCCGTGCATAAATTGCATCGCGCAACATCGCCACGAAACTATACGGATTTAATAAACGACCAACGGCAAACTCTGTTTTTACACGATATGATTAAGTTGAAACACCACCACCACCACCCCTGTGACATTGACGCATCGCAACCAGGAAACAGTCAAGGTTCAAAATTCCCCTTGATATTTCAACGGGGGAAAAAAGAACTCGGTCGTTTGTTACATTGAACGGTAGGTTTTTTGTCACTGTTAACTCGATTTTTTTTATTCATTGTACTAATGTCAGACATCATAATTGTTGTAAAACCAATGTTAGAAGTTGTGGTATTAGAGTTAATATTTTTAATTGAAAAAGTTTTAGTTGCGAATAAGCATTATCGATGACGGAAATTTGATTTGGTTACCAGTAACCAATATCGAGAACAAAAATTTTGTTTGGTTCCATTCGATTATTGTCAATTGTTATGAACTATACTGATAATTAATATTCATTGACAACATCAAAAAATTATAAAGCTTGTAAATTTTATTAAGCAAACAAACGGTATGAAAACAAATGAAACAAAGGATAGAATAAAAAATATTGGAGTACAATATATTTTATTTTATTTGTTTGGTTGCTTAATAAAATATGTAAATTTTATAACTGATTTTTATTATGTTTTCAATGAATAGTAATTATCAGTAATGTTAATAACAACCGACAATAGTCGAATGTAACCAGAACAAATTTTTGTCGTCGCTATTCGTTAGCGATAACCCAAAAATATTCCGATCATTTATATTATAAATTTCCGTCATCGGTAAAGGTCATTCGTAACCAAAATAAAATTTTAATCATTCATAATGGTTACCAACAATCGGAAAAATTACAAGTATATTTTCCTAACTTGTCACTTCCAAAATTGTCCATATAAAAATTAATTCAAGGTAACGCAGCTAGTACCACACGGCTCGATCGGTGGAGCCGATGTTCTTCGAGGAGCGTTAACTTCGACTAATTTTCATATATCCAATTGTGAAGTGATCATATTTTCAAAAATATCCTGATTTTTCTTCAAACTTTTCAATAGTTCTCCGCTATTATAAAACCGCATTAATTTAATACAATTGCGAAATAATCAGTTAAAAAATATTTTTCTTACATGAAATAATTTCTCCCACGTTCTCTTATGTATGTACGCTAAGCACCCACATAGCTCATTGTGAACAGTTTCTTAGTTCAACAGTAATAATTTATGATAAAAAGGTTAACACTACGTTTCAAACAGCTGCAAAACCAACAATTTTTCAAATTCTCAAAAATCCTTCAAGATACGTTTACATACCACTGACCAAGTTGCAACAAAATCCGTAATGTTACTCCGAAAAGTGTCCAATTTCCCGTGGAATGACCCACAAGTATAAACTAGTGAGTACAGTCTACCGTATAACATTCAGTATAAATCAGAACGATTTTCACATGTCTACACCCTCGCGCGCCGCGTTTCTGTTTCTCATGTTCCGTGTACACCGTTCTGTGCGTTGAATTCCGCGCATTCCACTGCTCGTATTAAATATTATGAAACAAGATTGGATTAATTGCTGTTTAGACACGTAGCACGATATACAAAGAGATAAATGTCCCTTGTGCCAGGCCGATGGAAAGACATCCCAGCGCGCACAGGAGGAAAAGTTAAACGGGCAAGGGAATATCTAGATGAAAATTACGAATGGCTAAATTAACTCGACGGTGGTGCTTGCTTAATAGTTTTTCCGATGATTATCACCCAACAGTGAACCGTCAAAGGTAGGGGGGGGGGGGAAACGACACGGCAAATTAGTTTCGGAGATAACACGTTGCGCAAAACGATCGCTCCGCGGTTCACGCGAGGCACATCGCATAGTTTTATGCGCGGTCCGATTGTTTCACCGTGACATCGCAGAGCCCGTCCTCAAACGAGCAATTTATTATGCTCATTATATCGCGGACGCTTTCCTCCGCGAAACGCAATTCCTCTAATCGTTTCTATCTCTTAAATGCTTTCCGATCTCTCCGCGTCTCTTTCCTCCGAGTCATGATTGATTCGCTGGTAATAATTACTTCGCTCATTCACGGAATAACTTGGTGCTCATCACGCCTCTCTATTGTCTTTTCCACGGTTGATACCAGTCCGACGATGAGCGAAGTTCTGTTTCCGTGCGTCGAAACTTGAGAACGAATGGGAGTTCACAGGGCGGTTGTGGAACTATCGAGGAGGTTCTGTTTAGAATTACTCTATAAATTAAGAAATATTAAAAAAACAAATATAATTTTACTCTAGAAATTAAGAAAATTAACTGTTTTCCTCTTAAACACATTTAAGGAACGACCAATAATCCGATTTATTAAAGGAAATATCGATTATGAAAGTCTTCATATTAATATTATCTGTATTTTTATAATAATGCTAACTTACGAATACAAACATTTCTTTTATACTCTGTAAACTGCTGTGGGTCGTTTTCACCCACGATATGTAAATCAGAAGAACGTCAGATTCATGCATATCGTAACAGTTACAAAATCTCTTAAATGTTCATTTACTAGGTACGTTCACCCTAAACGCATAAAGTCGCGATCGGATCGTTGTTCCAGAGAAATTCCAATTTGTTTCTCGCCCGACCAGAAAGAAAAATGGCGCCTTAGGGACGGGGAGCGATCGAATACGAGGCGACCGAACGGTTGGAATCGCGGGGGCAGCCCCCAGCGGCGAAATTTAGCAATTCTAACCACGTTATCGCGACAACACGACCGATCGTCGCGAACGGCGATAGTTTTATCGGTGGGATATGCGCATTATAATGGGATGCATCCGTTTCTAAACGGGCGGCCATTTATTCCGATGAATCAGAGCGTGCTTTCTCTGGCCTAGCGATCGCTTGCGCGCGCGAGCACCGATCCCCATGCCCGTTCGATGCGGCATAATCGGTAGGCGAGTTTCACCACATCTCTGTTTGATCTGTGAAAGTGTTGGAGAGGCCTGAAGATGAGCGCTCGTGCTACAGTTAGGTAATGTTTCTTTTGCCCGATCTAATTTACTGTCCCTACATCGATCTACAACTGTCTCAACGCGATTGCAACACCCGAGCCGTTAACGATGCAACGCGCAACGACCCGCTTGAGCCCCGCTTACGCTTGCTGATATAACCGCGGATGACTTATTGCCGGTGAACAATGTTACGCGTCGACTCGGTTTCGTCCCTTGTTCTTTTTTTTGTAATAATACCGAGATATACACGATATGAAATCGTTCTTCATGCGTCGACGAGGATGATGATGATAATTAACGGTGGACTTGAACACGTAAATATCAAGAAATTATGGTAAAAAGTGCCATTAAGGAATATATCAATTTTAAGAACTATTGCTCGGAAGATTCTTTTCTTTTAAAAATTAAAATTATTGACATAAAAAGGATTAAGAAAACTGTGTTTAGCCCTTTATGTCCTGAAGGAATATAATATTTCCCTTTGCGTCGTTGTCAGGTGACTATCAATGTAGTTTTCTCGCAATTAGTACTAGAACTACCAAAACAGTCGAAATTACTGGTCAGTAGATACACTCTTATAACGATCTTTTACAAAAAGTTAGTTAATTTATAAATTTGTATATTTTCAAAAGTTTCTCATGTTTATCCATCTGGCAGAAATAAACACACGTTTATCGTCGGTAGTTCTGGTGTTAAATCTGTGGTCATCAACGCGTCAAGAGATCATTATTACCGATCATTATGACCAAGAAACGTAACGATTCTCGTTAATGCGCCCGCTGAAGTAACGTTTCGAGTGCGAAAGGTTAATTTCTATAATCTCTCGTTGTGCAATACCGCGAACGAGGGTCCCCTTCTCGGCGCCGCGAAGACAGTGAAATTATATTAAACGGCCGCCGGCGCGTATAAAATAAAAATCGAAGAGAAAAAAAAACAATCAGAAGAAACAAGAGAGGATCGGTTTACTTTTACCTGCCGCGGCGGTTAACGATCGTTCTGTCATCACCGGCGAGGTATCATCGAGGACTACCTTGAAGTCGACGACGAGTCCCTCAGCGTATCTGGTAATTACGGGAGTTCAAGGCAACGTTCGGATAAAAACTAATTGAAACGAATGGAAAGGGACGGGACTCGCGAGGATGAGAAAAATAGAAGGTAAGGTCGAAACCGATTTATCGAGCGAGGAGCTTGACACTGAGAAAAGGTTGATTTATCGAAGCATCAAATATGAAATCGATCTTATCGCGATGTATTGGGTCTTCGTACAGATGGTGTCCAATAGTAAAAAAAAAAGAATGAAAGGGAGTAAAAAAGTTTAAATGTTGGTTTTAAACAGAATAGTGATTGTTTATTTTATTCGGCCTCCCCTACCATTTCAACCGTTGCGCACTGTTTGGGTCAATTAGCCCTAAACTTTTTTTGGTATTTTTGTTATTGATTTTAATTTTTAATTATATTGTTTATCAGAGAAATTTGTGAATTAATCTGACACCAGTAATTTACATGTATATATTTTCTCATATAGGATCACCCCCTTCCCGGTTGTACCATTAATACCGAGACACCCTTTTGTGTTTAATTTAAATGTCCAGGGCTACTCACTCTTCCCCTAACGATCAAGCGATATGTACATGTATTTCCTTAATTCGATATTAAATCAAGTTTAATTTAAGGAACAGTAATGGAACAATTTATTGAACAGTGCACGACGGTTAAGGGGACCATTTTATTTTTCGGATACCAAGTGTATTATTTATATCAACATTACATTACTTTTTTTATAACTGTGAACAATTGAGATAGAACTATAGTATGTACTTATTTCTTTTCATTGAAGCATCCATCAAACTCCAAATTAAATGAAAAACGCATTAATATTTATTAAATTTCTTAATAATCTGACGTTTAGGTAATCGTATATACTATAAACACATAATTATTGTACTGCTATTATTCTAGTCAGCTCATTTATTTATTGTGTCTGTTACACGCAGAACTAGCGAAGAATAGATACTAAAAGTATACCAGTCTGAGGAAACGTGGAAGGATACATACACGAATTGGAAAAAAATTTAAACTAACGCGTGAGGATACATTATTGCTATTGTAAACAAATGTAAACGATATGTTTTTAGAATTATTTCCATTATACCCATATATTGCATTTCTTTTCGGGATTCATACGACTACCAACTGGACAATTGAAAGCTTTGGCGAAGTCGTCTGAATTCGATACGGAACCAATCACCCTGAGTCGACCTGTGCTGTGCACGTCATACATCTCTTCCGAATAAACTCCGGATTCTCGGCTTCACACCACAACTGTGAATCAATTGTTATAATTTTCAAATATTTATTTAATTTTACGTTCATTTCATTACGTGATTCGTATAATAATAATGATAATATTTACTTATTTCGACTTCACAGCCCAGAAATAGATTTAGTTTACTACTTATTCTTCTAATAACAGGCGAGAGAGTGAATTGCTTTTATAATACATTTCATTTTTTTTTCTACTGGCAATTAAGATATTCATATAATTTTCACATTTATGTTATACTTCTACATGAGTATAATTCTATGTCGACTTTCAAAATAATTATATGTATATAAATCTATAATATTTTATACTAAATAATAAATGTATAAATATCGAATATTTATGGAAATATAAGGGTCTCACGTGACTGGTGGTACATCTGTGTTTTTACGTTTTTTTTTCTCGAAGCAAATAGAAAGCAATAAATATCCACTGTTACTCCAACATAAAATTATATTTGTGTAGAAGATACCGTAAATGTGAAAATTATATGAATACCTTAATTTTCAGTAGAGAAAAAGAAGAAATTTATTATATTATGAAAGGAGGTCACTCTTTTTATTAGAAGAATTAATAGTATTGAAAACTGAACTATAACAATCGGTACGAGTAAAATTCTACATTCATAGATCCGTTCAATAAACCTTGATAATTGTAATTTTATAATAATTATATTGTATGGTAATTTTCTGAATAATAATTATAATATGAAAAAGAAAGAGACTTACGTTGGCAAAGGATAAGAAGAAGGTTTGGTTGTTGTCAAATTTCTCCAGGCCTGGTAACGCTGGATCCGGTCTATCACATTCTCTTTGTCTTCGTTGGTAAGCTCTGAACACGGCTTGTAGGCCCATTGTGTCGGCAATATTTTCGCCTGCTGTTTGGTTACCGTAATCCTACGATTTTTTTTTTAATATTTTAAATGTTAGTAATCCCTTCCCTAAGATTGTAAAATAAATAAATTATAATAAGTGTATAGTATATAACAACTAAATCCCTTTTTGCTACTAAATAATAGAAACCTAATTGCTGTGAACCGTACGAATGTTCGAATGCGAGTTATCGATACGAGATTTTTTATACAAACGTGTATCTTCCCGTGTTTCTGAACGATTAAATATTCGAGGTTCGCCAAAGGCATTACAAAATTTCCCCTCCTAATTAGTTGTGCCATTAAGGAGAAGGAAAATTCTTGGATTTGCCCAAGTGATGTAGAGGTGGGAAACCTTTATATCAGAGCGAAACAGACGCCAAAAAAAAATATGACGAACGTGGTCACAATGAGATTTGACCAGGGACTTCTACCGAAACGTAAAATACCGGTATTTTCGGTTGAACCTTCGCCCTATATAACCCTATATAAGCCGTACCCTTATAGAAACCGAAAAAAATACCGGTATTTATTTCGGTTTTCGGTAATATATCGATTTTGATATAGCTTTGATAGCGTAGAAAAAATTTTACATTCATAAAATGGATGATTAATGAAACATTTACCTCAACCGTGAAATTGTCTCCTTTAATGAGATCATATTGGTTGAACTGATGAACGAAACAGTCGGCTCTCTTATTGTACGCCGCCGCCATTGCAGATAACCATTCCATCTGCTCGCCTGTCCTATCATATAAATGACCTGGAAACAATGAATTAATTATTATTTATTAAAGTTACGTACGATATGTGTTTATCAATAAAATTTCACTTACCTTCGTCGTCAAAACCATGATTCACTTCGTGAGCCATGATAACTCCGATAATACCGTAATTTACGTTCCTGCATTAAAAACATTACTATTAACGACTCCATTATATAAATAAACTTATAGTAAAGAAGATAAATTTACCATGGTCTATTCAGAGCGAAGAAGGGACTTTGGAAGTCGACCGCGGTGATTGCTGTATTAAATAAAAATATTCTATAAAATTTCCGTTGCTCCATCATTGAAAATAATTAATTCTAATGTCTAAGATTTGTACACCTTGGAACGTATAAATTTGAATCAAAATCGTCAGTCTAAGTATCAATAAGCTATGGAATGCATTTATAGTTTATGTAACTTTACGAAATGCAATCGAATAAAAAATATTAATAAAAGTTAAAAGTATCAAAAAATTGAATAAAAGTTATAAAGTTAGAGTACCAATTAAGTGATTTAATAGAGTTCCTGTCACAATTTCATTGTCAATATTAAAATATCTCTTAATATACGAACCTATTAAATTTTCTGTTGGCATGAAGAAGGCATTCAGCATTAGAGGATCCAAAGAGTGTCTGTAAACATTAATAACTGTATGACACTACTGAAGAATATTATTGTTAATGTCCATAAATAAAATCTTACTCAGGGGGTTGTTCATCATCCTGTTGTTCCACTACTTGCTGTAATTGTTTCCACTTGCGGTATCGGAAGTAGCTCATTACATTTTCATATAAGGATGGGCCAACCGTGAGCTTTAACATTCATTAATTCAATATTCATAAATTACTCTAATTCAAGATGCACATTTGCAAAACTCAAGTTGGTAGAGAAAGTCCTCATCATCAACGTATTTTAAAAAGAACATTTTATTAATTTCTCTTTGTCTACTCGCATTTTTTGTCCACTCAAATGTATCAACTTTTTGTTCAATATCAAGAAATCTATGAATGTTTAAAAATAATTCATTTCTCTTGTAGTAAACACAATAGAATTCTTGTCTTTCAATTGAAAATTCCCAAAAAGAATATTTAAAATCGGAAAAAGTGAACATTCAGCCGACCATAAGGCAAACACTTATAAGCGATATCACGTGTATTTATCATTTTCAATTAAATTAATTATCGTTCAAAAAGTAAATTACCCCGCGGAAGTAGCGTTTCACAAGTGTAGTATTTTGGTACCAATCTGGGTAACCAACTAGATTCTTCATGTGCACCAATTTGTCCAAAATAAAGTGTTTCGTGTCGTCGTCCATCCACGTCGATTCCTTGATCTGATACTCGACCTCCTTTTGTATGTCGTCGATCATGTCTCTGGCCTTTCGTGACAGTGAATAATATTCATAAAATTATAAGGTAACATTTCCAAACACAAAAAGAATGAAAAAGGACCTAAAATATATTTTTATCTAAACATTTTTACCGTTCTCGCTATCTTCTCGGAGAAATGCTTTCTGGTATATTCGTACCCCACTATTTGAGACATCTCCACCATCATTGTGCACTGCTCCTTTCTACGAAAACGTGAAATCAAACGTATACAACAGAATCTATAACTCTGATATTATTGTCGACAAACTGTTGTTAAAAATCACCTCGACTCAAAAGACATGCCTCCCCAATCTTCGGACAATTTTCCCAGGTCCTCTGTCGTGAACAATACCAGTTTGCTAACGAAGAGCCAGTGAATATAATTGACTGAAATGAACAGACAGCGACGTTACTTAATGGATGATATTTGCTAATGATTAAAAGAAAAATTTGCCATCTTTTCACCGATTGTTTCACTCGGAGTTTCGTCAAGCAACGAATGGAGCTTCTCGAAGTAACTGGGCTGTATTACCGTAGTTTCTAAGTCACCCTCGACCTCCACACCTGCCTCGTCGAATAGTTTATGCACCTTCCGTTTCCAATTTACCTAAACGTTAATTATAATAATAAACACTAAATGTTTATATCAACTGTTGATTACAGTTGGACAATTCAGCAATTAACGTTGAAATACCGACTCCTCTCGATTATAGTCCCGAACTCGGGTCCACGCCGAGGCAATAATCTGACAGGGAGAAATGTTTCAGACCCTCGTAAATTCGTTTTTTGCTCAAAGCCCGAGCCTTGGCAACAAAAGCAGAGGGGCAACAAAGTATGCACTTGACAGGTTCGTGTGGGTTTGGTGGAGACAACACCTGGACAATAATCGTGTAGAACAAGCCAGACTATAATCGAGAGGAGTCTGTAATTACGCCGCCATTTTGAAAAACACTGCACGCAAGCGAAATACATTACCTTGCTATTTTGCGTTGTGGACTCCAAAGAGTTATAAGTTTCCTGGAAAGAATCCAATGTCGTTTCCAATGGTTCGTAGTCCACAATCGTGATCTGAAGAGTACAAAAAGAAATTTCAATCAACTCTAGGGACTAACATCTGTGAAAGAGGTTAGGTTAATCAGTTCACTTACTTCTCCCAATTTAAGTATGAATTCCATCAGATTAGCGACACCTTTTTCCAATCTCTCCCGCGATGGCTCTAACCCTCTGGCTTTTGATAGCACTAATGCCACAGATAATATATATTCGGTGTATTTCTCTATACGCTCCTCTCTCTCTTCTTCACTATTATCATCATCATCCTCATCATCATCATTTTCATCCTTTTCATCGTTTCCATCATTTTCATTATTATCTCCATCATCATCGTTCTTTTCACCCTTTCCGTCATCGTCGTCTTCCTCCTGATCCTTGTCCTCATTTTCATTATCATCTCCACCTTTTTCGACAGTGACATTACCACCATCTTCGTCGTTACCCTCAGTGTCAACCTCATTGTCACTACTGTCTTCGTTATCCACGTCATTACCTTCAGTCTCATTGCTCGAAAGCATATGTCTACGTTTCGATACTTTTCCCTCGATATGATGGACTCCGTGATGACCAACACTCTGCTTATGACGCTTATTACCATGAACCTGTGTCGTGACCGTCGTCTTCGATTTCTTCGTCCTTCCATCCACATGTCTGCCTGATCCTTTACCCTTATTATTTCTTCTTCTACCATGACCCAAACGTTTATGGTTCTTATCAGACACTTTAACGCTTCCATCTTCGTTCTTTCGTTCCAGATCATTCTTCCTAGTGGATGCTTTAGTGTGATGACCTACAGACAGGTGTGCATGCCTCGATAATCCTCCATTTGCCTTCGATTTTTTATGATTCCTGTGCTTGGCGTGTTTCCGTAGTTTACGAAGAGTGTTCTCCACGATAATATCCCTTTTCGTTCTTCTCCTTGTCTTCCTATCATCACTGTACTTTCCCGACACTGTCCTTCCATTACTTTTCCTTCTATTATGACCCAGCCTACCGTGACCCCTTCTTACTGATACTTTTCTCTTTCCTGTTTCTTCCACTTCGTTTTCGTCTTCGTCCCCTTCATCGTGTCCTTCATCGTCATCGTTGTCTTCGGTTTTTTTACCATTTTCCTCACCTTTCTCCTTGCTACCTTTCTCCTGACTACCCTCCCCGCTCTCGTTGTTCTCATCGCTGCTGTCCGAACCGACGTACAAGCCCGACGAGAGGAGTCCATAGATACCGGGAGGCAAATGAGGAGTATCTAACTGTAACATGAGAGAACAAAGCGAAATGACGTAGACGTAGGCGTTGATATAACATAGAAAAAAGAATTATTGACGGGTTGACTGCTCTAGCGAAAATGTTATTCGAGGCTCTGTTAACGAGATATTAACGAAAAACCCAGACGCGCTCTGATTGGTTGGGGTTTCTCGTTAATATCTCGTTAACAAAGCCTCGGATAATATTTTCGCTAAGGAAAAAATTGTTTCAAATCATCCCAGAAACTTCTAATTTCCGGAAGTCGAAGCTATTTTGGAACACCCTGTATATGTATAGAAATAACTTTTATAGATTTTTAACATACCAGTAGAGTTCCATTGTCGTCGTACGAAAAAGCACCGTACGATAGGTCGTGGAATGAGTTTAATCCCAACAAACGAGCGAATTGGTCGTCGACTATTTGCCAGTTGTACACACGATCGTCCCATTCGCCTTCTTCCATTATCAACGGCCAGCCACCGTGCCTCCATAGCGTGGACAACAATGGTTCGACTCCTTTGGCTCGTTGTGACTCTATAAATTAATTTAATTAGAAATCATTGTTTCCATAATATTTACCCTGTCACACACGGTGTACAGACTCCTCTCGATTATCGTCCCGAACTGATGTAAGATGTTTTACAAATGAGTAATAATTATAACAAAATGTCAAACAACTCGTTTTACTGTTGATAAAATATTTCTACAATCGTTTTTGTAAAAAGTGAACGTTCCGATCGTTGAAAATTCGCGAAATTAACTGTAATTTGTGTTATAGAATTCGCCAGATGACGCAAGAACGACAATCAATGGAAGCTGAATAAATACCTATGTCGATGCAACTTTGGTACCATTTTTTCGCCAGTTTCACGGCGAACAGATCGTCCGGTTGCTCAGGTGTTTCAATTATTTCTGAAAATTGCAAATCATCACAATCGTAAAATTTTCTTCGTTATACATATACCTATGTATGTAATATTTTACATTATAATTGGAGAAGTTAAATTGTATTGGATTTTTTAAATATGTTCAATAAGATCGAATTAGAAAAATGGCACGAACGTTCAACTTGTTTCTCAATTTTCTTCTGCACCATGTCCCACAAGCTCCAACTTGACATATTCTCGGGAACAGGATTGTCATTCGACCACTTTCCGCACGCGTACTCGTAAAAATCGTCGCAAGGATCCATGGACTCGTCCATACTATCCTTGATCACCTTTGCTGTTTTAAAGACAGTACAACGTACGTTTTAAATAATAAATACAGAAAAATAACAAAATTACATAGCATAAAGTATAATATAACTAATAGCAATGGTATCACAGAGATCGAGATCAATGGTTCTTTTTCGTTGAGATTAATACAAAAAAATGATCTTCATTGGTTAAAACTGTTTCTTTACCTAAATCGAAATTATACAAATAATATTGTCACGGTAGTCATCGATTTAATTACGACAAATCAACAAATTTATTTTATTTAATATCTTTGGCGAAGAAAAGCTTGGCTCAAAAAGCACCAAGAAATAAAGTTTCAACGGTTAATTAGCAATTAATAGTTAACAATTATTATTTAAGACTTCAGTTAGGAATGTTTTAAATTGTAATTATATTTAATTACAATTAACTACAACATCGATAATCCGCATAGTTAATATTAAAATAAAACTTTAGGCTTCATTCCAACCTAAATAAGCTTTATTCGTTAAGCTTATTTCCCGTTATTTCAACTAATTTTTGCATGAACTTTACAAGTTTCGAAAAATGAACATAGCAATTTTAGGTCCACAAAATCAGGTAATAGACAGCACTTACCAATCAACTTGCACTCCTCGGTCTCGCACAACGAGCGCTCCTTCACTTCATTTTTGACAGGAATTTCGCGTTTCGCGCCAAACAGACTGTCCAAGCCGTAAGAATATGCCGGGAAATAGGGATTGGCGCTTATAACAGCGCCTAAAGACGCTCTAAAAAAACATTGAAAATCAGATCAATCAAAAATCTCATGTAGGTATATCAATATTATGTTACTAAAAAAAAGTATCAAGATTCATGTAATAACTATATAATTTTTTTCCAAATATCTAACGGATGAAACAAATTTTTACCAGATTACAATTTTTCTAAATTAATTCCTAAATCTGCAAATTTGCATAAACATCCACAGTCTATTCAATAAATAATATTTAACTTCTTATTTTACGAATAAAGCAATGGAATTTTATGACACAGCGTATGCTTTAAATAAAACTCGTAAAAATACATCAACCCCTACCTGGTGAGCTGAAAATCTTCTTACTTATTACACAACTATTTGTTTTACATTGTAACGAAATAAAGCATTGAAATAAAGAAGCGTTCTTTAAGTAACCATTGAATATGTGTAAAATATTCTAAAAATATTCATTGTACTCCTCAGACCCCACCTCACCAATTCAAGATAATAACGAAACTGTTTATTGCAAACATAATTGCATTTAGCAATGGAATTTATTTAACTACATAAATTGTGAGAGCTTTCGCCAGAAGCTGGTATTGTAAAATGTTTACTTACAAGATCAAAATCCGGATCATTTCCGCGACGAGAGGCCAATCTTCGCGAGAACAGAAGTTGGCCTGACCAAGTGTCAGTCAGTGTTCCCTTTTGCGAAATGCCACGGGTGAACGATGGGAGACCACTTTATATCCATGGAAAAAGGGGAAGAAGTACCGATAGTGTTAACAATAGTTTGATAATACTAACACCTCACCTCGAACCAGATAGGAAAACAGTGCATCCTCTGCCCTTGGGATCTTATAGATAATTTATTTTAGTATCTCAATGTCACAACGAGAAATGGTCGTCCGTTATTGAGATTCCATTTCCTTCCGTTTCGATAGAGATGATTATGTTCATTAACAAGGCTACAATGAATTTGATATCTGAGATGCAGATATATTTCATATTCTGTTTCAGAAAATCATTTTTGAAAGTTCGAAGGATAATGACTTATTTCGAAACGAATAGTTTTAATCAAAAGAAGATTCCATTTGGATCGACACACTGTTGTGAATGAATTATAGGCTTATTGATAGCATGTTTAACGATTTCAAGATAAGTAAAATAAAGTACATTGGATAACGACATCTACTATGCAAGAACCTATGTAATACTTAAGAATTGCAGAATTGTTGAAGAGTATTTGAGTTTTAGTTTTTTATAATAAGTACAATATTATGAATGTTTATTTAAAATCACATTTTTATGTATTAATTTACAAAAATAGGTGTGAAAAAGAAATTTAGTTAAGAGAAATTGAGATTACAGTAAAAATAGTGGTCAATATTTATTACCGTGTCGATTTTATTGTCTTTTGCCTATTTGCATCTATAATTAGTGCATAAATGGCACTTCTAACAATAGCCATTTTAATTGTCTTAATTTTAATACTATTGAGTAGTATTGTAATCTTAACCTTAATCATTATTATTTTATACGTTCATATATGTATATTTAATGTTGTTAATTGTTTTAGTAGGGAAATAGTTGTAACTCTTAAAATTCTCTATAAAGTCGTTAATGTTTAGAATAAAGTGGTATATTTATTTACTTTCTACAGAATAGAATTTATATATACTTTCCTTTATTTACTTAATTAAACAAAAACACATCCTGTAATATATCTACATGTAGATAGACGAAAGAAAACACAAGCTTTACTGTGTTTATGTTATGTTAATTTTCATTTTTAACCAAAAAAAGTCTTAATTGGCTTAAAATTAAAAACTGTTTGTGAAAAATTTGTTTATCAAAAATTTGTACTAAGTATCTTATTTATATGCTTTTTTTGTTCGTTCTGTGGATACAAACATTATCTTGTCAAGTGCGTATATGTAGGCATGTAGCGCTCGCCGTGAGATAACCAGTAAACTTCCGCCATTTTGGATGACCAGTCCGCGACATTAACCCCTTATACTATAAGTTTTATCCAACTAAACTCATTATTAGACTGCGGATATTATATATTTATAGCCTGTAAGGCTGGCTCTGTGAAATACAATGAAAAACAAAACCTTCATCGGATCCAACGAGTTTTCTATTTTATTCTGAACCCAATAAGATACTTAAGAGGGCAAATAAATTTCTACGATTGCTCCTGTCTTTATGAATTACTTTAGAAACTTTTATTTTGCATAAAAATCCGCAGTCTACTCATTATATATTGTTTTCTACTAACACAACATAAAATAATGCAGTCGCCTGTATTTAAAAAAATATCAATGGTGGGCACATCTGTATAAACATTTCACTATGAAAATCGTAGTGTTAGTTATAGTTTATATTTAATTCACTTCCAATATACATGAATCAGTTACAGAATAATTATGTAATAATCGCACTGTATCAATATAAATTGTATTTCATATAACTCTAGAAGCGCAGGAATACTGAGGAACATTGAAAATGCCATTAACTATTAATCCTCGATGTAATATTCTTATTTCCAGATGCTACACTTCTTTTTAGGATTCATGGGGCTACCCTCCGGACAGTTGTAAGATTTGGCAAAATCCTCGGAATTGGACACAGAGCCAATCACTCTCAACGAACCTGGACTATGCGAATCGCGTTTCAATCTATGCTCAATTTCTTTCGGATCAAAAGCTGTACACCAGACCTGTAAATTGGGAAAAAGAAAACATAATTATTTTTCTATAAATTTCATATTTCAACGTTACGGTTTTGAATATATTAAAATTTTAATAAAATATATTAGAATTTGATTACTGATTATTTATTAACTTTTGCTTCTAGTTGATATTAACTTTATATCATTCACAGATTTTATGATATCTCCCTGTATGATAGAGTATAGAGATTATTTAGCGATTTCATCAATATTCCTATATACGGTTAATATTTTAAAATATATATATAATACATAATATAAAAATAATATATAATAATTTTCATACATAAAATGTTCTTACGTAGTCTTATTCAATATGTATTGGTTTTAGGGAATAGAAGAAGTCTGTCAAGTTTAATTAGTGAGACGGTAATTAACTTACGTTAGCAAAAGACAGGAAGAATAATTGATTGTTAGTGAATTTCTCTAATCCAGGCAACAAGGGATCCGGCACCTTGCATTTCCTTTGCCTTCGTTGATAAGCCCTAAATACAGCTTGCAAGCCCATCGAATCCGCGATATTTTCACCTGCCGTCTGTTCGCCATAATCCTATAGCCGTAAGTAAATTGTTTTAAATTAACATCAATTAAATTATTTTCAAAGAACGTCAATTAAAATATTTTAAGTTAATGCCAATTGAATTATTTTAAATAAAAATAACGTTCGTCGACGATCGATGATCGATGAAATATAACACGAAAGACTGATTGTCAATTTCACCTAAGACAAGTACATAGGTATGTCAGCCAACTCTCTAAAGCAGCAGAGACAATTTATATGGTGAAGATACACAGACCACCGTGTATATTGTAATATAAAGGTTTATTTAAAAAATTATGTGAAAATTTTCACCTCTATCTGAATATACGCTGTTTTGTTCTCCATGCTGTACTTGGTGAACTGGTCTATAAAGCAATCAGCCCTCTTCTCGTACGCGTCTGCCATGGCGTACAGCCATTTCATGTACTTACCGCGTCTGTCGAAAAGGCGACCTAAGAATTTTCGATTACAAATTGACATCATTCGAAGAAAGTATTATTATTAGAATGCGGATATTATGCATTTATAAACCCTAAAGCCCTATGAAATACAATAAAAGACAACTTTCATCAAATGCAACGACTTTTCTATTTTATTCTTAACTCAATAACATACTTAAACGAAGATAGATATTGTATCTTGATATTCCTACTTTTGTTCTTGTCTTCAAGAATTACTTTATAAAATGTTATTTTGCATAAAAATCCGTAGTCTAGTTATTATATTTTACGGTTAACGGAACGAACGGAAAGTTCTGTCCTTTTTTCTTAATTGTATGCTTTCCGATCGATCGTCATACATATATCAACGGATTCGTCATTTGTGCAACATTAAAACAAACCAATTTATTAAACTTAATTGAAGGAATTTAGGATAATTACCCGAATTATCGAATCCATGATTTATTTCGTGAGCCATTACATATCCGAGGATGCCAAAGTTACTGTACCTGTGCAATAAAAACATGATTGGAAGTAAACGAAGCAAATCACCTTATGTACTATATATTGTACCAGGTCGCTGCAAAAATTCTACCCCTTCAAACACATATTTTAACATATATTTACCACACTATATTTGTCAATTAAACTTTACACTCTCTAAATGGTATTCGTACAATTAGTTTCTCAGTGTGTATCAGACTCTTTCTTCTTATCTTCTGCAAAGTGTGGTAGACAAAATATTAGACAATTTAATATAATGAGACACATTTCTCGAATAAAAAAAATTTCATTTGACAGTTGCAATTAATTTTTTCGCGATGGATCAGCTAACGTATTTGTAACACCAAACGTAATTAGTATATAGCGGATCTTTATGCGTTTATGGCGACCCTTGACTTGTAAAACGTAGACAAAAGAAACATTCCAATAAAATTTAATATTATTTATGCATTATTATTAACATATTAAAACACATAGTATCGAAAATTCTTGTGCAATTTAGCTTTTTATTATATTAGTATCCAAAATGGTAAATTTACATAAACATTCGCTGTCTAATAATTAGTATCACCAATAATGGAGCATTCTGTATTTAAGAAGAGTAATTCGTACTTACCATGGATGATTAGGATCAAAGAAAGGTTTCTGGAAATCTGCCGCTGTTACCTCTGTAATCATACAGAAAGTAATCCATACTAATCCAAACTAAACTAATAACCTACCTAATCAGACTAAACGTTAGTAATACTTAAAGAGGTTGATCTTCAATAGTCAACCGATTTCGTATTCAGCTCAGAACTTACCAAATGCGTTGCTAACTGGCGAGAAGTAGGCATTCACAACCACCGGATCTATATCGTATCTGTGAACCAACGTTTCTTTTAATTATAAAATAAACGAAACTTTCAGTATCGTATTATGAACAGCAAACCATTTAAGCTTATGCAACTGTTGAGCGACTTACTCTCCGCGGAAGTCTCCCTCGTAGAGAGCTTTCAAATTTTCCCGTTTCACGTATCTCATCACGCCCTGAATGTTTTCGAAATGGGACCGACTGATGCTCAGCTGGAAGAATCAGGATCAATGAAGTAGACTTCAGAGATTGAAAAAAATTGAACAAACTAATCGAAGAAATTGTAAGAACGAACGAAAAAAGAAAAAATTATACATATCGAAGCTGTAGATGGTAGTTCTACAATTAAAGGGTGTAGAAACTTTCCGAATAACCGAATATAATGACTAGACTGCGGATTTTTATGCAAAATGATATTTTATGAAGTAATTTATAAAGACACGAGCAAATGTAGGACTTTCTTCTCTTAAGTATCTTATTAGGTGAAGAATGAAATAGAAAAATCGTTGCTTCTGATGAAAGTTTCGTCATTTACTGTATTTGGGAGTGCCCTATAAGTGCATAAAATCAGCAGTCTATTAATGACAATAGTCCATGAAGAATGTCACTAATGTAGCTTTAAATAAAATCTAACAAACAAATGAGTACTCGAATTTTTAGTATGGGTCACTGTCGACCCGGTGACAGACTTCCATATCCCATAATCCAAGAGTTACTTTTCCATAGAACGCAATAATTCAAAGACAAAATGTTCATAAAGAGATGTGAAATCACTCACGCCTTTGAAATGTTTTTTCATGGCTGTGAGGTTTCGATACATTTCCGGATAGCCCAACAATTTCTCCATGAACACCAGTTTGTCTAATATGAATTCTTTGGTATCATCGTCCATCCATTTTGATCCTTTCACCTGATACTCGACTTCCTTTTGGATGTCGTCGATCATGTCTGAAGCCTAAAATCAGTAGCGAAAACGAAATACATCAATGTATCATTATTATTTTTTTCGAAAGGAATTTTGTTATTCTGAATTCGAAATTATTTTAATTAACACCGTTCTCAGCCAATCATCGGAGAAGTATCGTTTCACGTATTCGTATCCTAGACAGTACTTCGCTATCAGCTCTTTGCTGCATTCCATCGATCTGTGGAAAAGTGTAATTGTTATAAGTATATACGTACAATAATAGATTTATATATACATACAACATATATATCATATAAATATTCTGTATATAAATCTATAGGTACGATGTGATCGATAGAACAGTATCTAAAAGTTTAAATAGTGTGATAATCAAGTAAGTGTTTTTCATGAGATTTTGTAATTATTTGAAATAGAAAATAAGTTACAGTAAGGAAATATTAAAAATTCTTCATCTCTATTAATAATCAAAGATAACAATAGATCATAGTACATATTTGCAATTGCATGGTTTTATAACTCAATAAAAAGTAAATTCAATGGTCCGAATTTCAATGAATATTGAATTTTTAAAATTCACATTGAAAATATATTTCATTATGCAATAATGAAAAAAAATGTTTAACAATCTGCATGCTTTATAAACTATACATTTATTACAACAAAAAGTATAGTTTATATTTCTGAAGGTCATTTCAAGACGATTATAAAATCGTGTCATTAGAAATACAAATATTAGAAGATTACTTTAAATTTTTAATTAAACAACAATATGAATTTTTCATTTAATTTAGAATATAATAAAACCACAGTACAGTATTGTACATAAAGGAGTATTATAATTTTTGAAAGATATTTTAATACAAAAACATTCCACCACAGGTAATATGTATTACCTGTCTGTAAAATCTTTCTCGTACGGATCCCAATTGTAATAAAAGTCCCTCATTTCCTCTGTAGTTGATTTTATCATTCTACTGACGACATTCCAGTGTATATAGTTCACTGCATAAAATCATTCAAATATTTTGTTATGAACTCTTAGTTGTTACTTAAATATATAAACTTCATGCGTACCGATTGTTTTACTTGGTGTTCTATCTAGTAACTTGACCATGCCTTTCATATAATCAGAAGAGGGAGTTAGGATTATGGTGTTGCTATCCATTTCCAATCCTGTCATTGTAAACAAGACTTGTATCTTCTTGATCCAATTTATCTAGAAACAATTATTTAATCGTACCTTTTATTAATTTTTAACAACCCTCAATTTTATCATAAAAATAATAATAAGTCTCCATATAGATCCAAATGAAATCTTACTTTGCCATTCTTCGTGGTAGGCTTCAAAGCATCATAGGACTCTTGAAACGCCTTAATCGTAGTATTATCGTCTTCGTCATCCAAAAATACTAACTGCAAAAATCAATTGTTTGGCATCTTAAACTTACTATCATACTTTACTACTTTACTACTTTACTACTTTACTACTTTACTACTTTACTACTTTACTACTTTACTACTTTACTATTTTATTTTACTATTTTACTATTTTACTATTTTACCCTTGTAAGACTGAGCTGAAACTCGACCAAATCTTCGATATCTTTCACTAGCTTCTCCTTCGATATTGGAACTCCTCTGGCCTCAGCAAGGGCCGTGCTGACGTTCAATATGTATTCCTTATATTCCTTCCTTAATTCCTCCTTGTACTTTCTATCTTCCTCTTCTCGCTCTTTCCTTTCATTACTATCGTTTTTATTTTCATCACAGTCTTCACCACTACCGCTACCATTTTCGTTCTCATTCTCATCATCCCATCCGTCGCCACTGCCGCTTCCTCCATTGCCCTCTTCGTCGTCAGTACCATCCCCTTCATTTTCATTGTCGTTATAATCCTCAGTAGCTGTTTCATATTCATCGACATCATCATCGGTACCATTTTCATCGACATTATCAAGAAAATATATATCGCTATTCATTTCTTCATTTCTTCCAATCTTCTTCAAATGATTCCTCAAACGCATTCTGACATTATTGTGTTCGTATATTTGTTTAGTACTCTTTCTGTTACGGAAAATATTACGATTATTTATTCGCCACTGTTCAGGATACTTCCTGTAGTGAACTTTCGAATCCATTACTGTCTTCTTTGTACTTTTATTCGTCTTCCTTACGACGTGTTTCGCCGACATTTTATTCCTGTTACCCTGACGATTATTCCTTTTTTTAGCTAATTTCTTCTTCTGCGAATCATCCTCCTCCTCCTCCTCCTCTTCGTTTTCATCTTCTTCGTTGTGTCTTTCCTCGCTGCCACGTTCCTGGCTGCCCCCTTTACTGTCGTTGTTCTCGTCGCTGCTGTCCATGCTGATTTTGTAGCTGCTGACAAGACTGTACGCTTTTCGCGGTAAGTGCGGTGTGTCAATCTAATCGATAATATTATTATAAATAGTAGATAATATTATTAGAAATAATATTAGGTGTACCAATAAGTAGCATAACATTTCAAAATAATTCAAACACTTATCCTACTTTAACAATATTCGTTATTTCTTATCAGGGATGGACAAATTCTGTATCTAAATAAAGAGTTTCGAATAAAGAATAAAAGCTAAAAAAAGAGTACTTCATCATTTTTGATTAATTAAACGTGAAAGTACTAATTTTGTATAGAAAAATAATTTCTTCTTGAATGAGTTGACATTTGGCGAACAATTATTTAATCTCATTAACCGTTTACAGGTCAGAATACCGATCTTAGATACTGTTCTTTCTTCCAAGGTATTATTCGAATAAAATTATGCCCAACTATGTTTGTTACTCGTCCGCCATTTTGACGGAACAGAAGATTGAAAAAATACATACTAGAACTATAGCGAATTACTTATTGATACATCTAACAAAAAATGTTATTATTATTAGTGATGATATTATCATTAATAATGTTGTCATTAACAACGTAAAATAAGGTAAGAGTCCTTCCATCTTGAATCGATCACGTTTCGGTCGTGATGTCAAGGATTTGAATGAAACGGAAACATGACGTAGTCTACACGAAATTATATAGGACGTGTTTAAGTCATCGCTCCGTTCGTTTCGAAATTGCGTGAAAAAATACAGGACGTGGTATTATGATACTATCAGGCTGATGTAAGTGATGGAAAACGCGCGGTGGAAATGTCATACGAGCCGAGAGATGAATATTAACGTAAATGACATATCAATAGAATCACCATTAAGTATGTGTCAATGGTGTCCGAATCCCAAGGAGTATCGACTTTCAAATCGTGTAAACTGTTCAGGCCAATTAAACGAGCATAATAGTCGTCAACGTGTTGCCATTGATACGTATCTTCGTCCCATTCGTCTTCCTCCATTAATAGTGGCCAGCCACCTATTCGCCACAGTGCAGAAACTAACGGCTGGAGTCCTCTTCTCTCTAATTCGTCTGTAATTTCATTGACAAATTGTCCCTGATAACCAGCTGCGTGCAAGTTTCGAGCAGATTGCCAGCAAATAATGATAAAATTTTTCTAAAAAACCATAGCCATCTGTTCCCGCATTTGGCTTGGGTTTTGTAGACAGAGCCTGCTGGCAGAATGGTAAAGCAAATTGGCAGCAAGTCTTGCAACATAACCTGTTGTCAGATTGGGCAAAAATGGAACAGAGTCCAAATAATAGAAAAATATTTATAATTAAACACCAATTTCATTTCATACTTTGAAAATATAGGTAAATGAAATATAAATAAAATGAACTAAGAAGCCATGCTGAGTGCGTAACCTTATAACAGGTATTGGAAAAAATTTGGTTTCGCAAATTTGGCTGACTAGCTGTTAAGTGTACCGATAAGTAATTCATTATACAGACTCCTCTCAATTATCGTCTGGCTTGTTCTATACGATTATTTTACAGGCGTTATCCCCACCATTGAGGGAAGGCATGAAACCTGTCAAGCGCATACTTTGTTGTCCCTCCATTTTTGTTGCAGAGGTTTCGAAAAAAAAAACAAATTTACGAGGGTCTGAAACATTTCTCCCTATATGATTACTGTCCCGGCACGAACCCGAGTTCGGGACGATAATCAAGAGAAGTCTGTAGGTTCAATATGGTGGCAATAGATTTTCGATTCAGTTCAATCTTCTGTTTAATTACAATGGCCGAGAGTAATGATAATTGTTAATATAGGATATGTATTTTTGTATTATTTCTAAACGAATAGAGTTTCACCGAAAAATAGTGGACTACTTATGGGTACTCCTAATAAAATGGGAATTAATTGGTACACTCAGCAAGACGAAGGTGAACGAAGAATTGACTGAAACGAATCGTTTTAAATTCACTAAAACAAATCACCTGTGTTCATACAAGCGTTGTACGCTCGCCTGGAAAGTCTCAATCCAAGGAGGTCGTTAGGCTTTGAATCTTGTCGCAATATATCTGTGAATAAGATATATTAATTAATATATCGTGTTCACTTATTGGGTCTTTCTTGAAAACGATGTTTAATTCGAACAAATCTTATTCCAAATTTTCGATTCGTTTTACTATAGAATCACATCCTTCGTGGCTAAATCACAATCCCTTGAACAAGTATTTTACATTAACAAATATAAAATCAACAAACCCTGAAGACGTTTCTCGACAACTTTAGCCGCCTTATGCATTGGAGTCCATACTACTTCATCATCCGGTCGGGGATTGTGTTTCTCCCAATTTCCACATGCGTACTCGTAGAAATTTTCGCACGGGTCCACAGACGCGTTCATATTTTCCGTTATTGTCTGTGCTGTTGATAAATTAAAGTAATTAAATTAAATTGGTAAAGTAAGTAAATGGTTTCGTAAAACATTGTGCAAGAAATGTGATAAAGTTATGAAATTAAATATCAATGCAAAAAAGAATCTCCATTATTTGAACGTGTTCTTAGCCGAACGTATATTCCCTTCTAGAATTTACTACACTTTGTAAGATAAAAACAAAGCAATTTTTTTTCTACTGAATGTAATCCATTCATTCCTGAAGAAACATTATTTCTCAACATGATTTCAAACCTGGCATACTTGGTTCGTGTTTATTCTAACCACAATATATAAGAATTGAAAATTTAAGGGTAGTTTTACAAAAATTAAACCACAAGGCAAGGATTACGAATAAACAATAATTAAATAAAATTTTTCACTCACCAAGTGCTTTACATTCCGTGGTGTCGCAAAGCGAGCGTACTCCTTCCGGTTCCTCGATATCAACGCCACCGTTCACGCCGAAGAACCGTCCTAAGTCCACGATTGTGGCGACGGCACTAGTAATGGCGCCGACAAACACTCTAGAAAAATAAAATTAATTGTATTTTACTCGAATACAATCGATTCGAGCGACGTAAAAAAAAATATCCTATATCCGTTGAAATTTCACTCACAAAATACACACGATTCGCGACATCTTGGTGATAAGATGCGCGCAAAATAATGAAATTCAAAGCCAAGTCGCGGATGTAGCAACCAGGCTTCCTGCTCGGAATGTGCGGAACGGAACGGTGCTGGTGGTGGTTTTATATTTACAGAAAACGGAAAGACCCTGAAGCCTGTTGATAATACGCACTTTGTATCAATTCTTGTCGAACTGGATGCATCCTCTTTATGATCGTGCACGTGACGACAGACAGTTCGATATTACAGATACAAAATATTTCTTTTTATTTCGTCAATTTCTGGATGTAGATTTTACTCTGTAGATTCGACACTGTAGAAAAGTTACAAAGACATCAATGAACGAAAAAGTAGCTGCGTACACTTGGTGCTTGCAACTCTCGATCAACGAATAGCCTGTGCCATTTGGACCAGGTCGCTGAACAGTCGCCTGGTCGTAAATTGATCTGCTTTTTATCGCTCTAACATAAACAATTGGCGAGTATTGACCAGCTCGGTTTACTAAGAACGTAAAGGTCTACTAAGAAGTAAAATGTAAACGTTCACGGTGCTAGATTGTATGTACATTGAAAACGACGACGATATACTCTATTTGAAATGTCGAAGTTGGAACGGACGTATTGCTGAAAACAATTAGAGGGTCCGTACTGTGAACGGTTCTGTCGCGCCAATCAAGCGAAAGAAACGAAACAAAGGCCGTGAGTTTGATAAATTGTTACCTTTTTGGAACGATGGTAATATTTAATTTTATGTATACAACATGGTTCCAAGAATATATACACAGCACTGACGGTCACATATCTGCAAATATTTGTGTTATGATCCTCTAATTGTTTGGAACTGTATATTTGTAAAACCCATACAACAGATACAAATGCGATATATAAAAATTCCAGTGAAACATAATAAATGTTTTATGTACATACAAATAAGTACATCTGTATTTTCATTACGTATTCCTTCCCTTTCTTTATCATTTTTATATCCAACACAGTATTTCGAGAAAATAGGGTAAATCAACTAGTAATTGACTACATACCAGTGAATAAATATTAGGCAAAAAATATAAATTATAAATTTAAAAATTATTAAATGTTTATAAATGGAGCGTTGTTGCACTTTTAATATCCCATATTATTAGTTATCCTGTTACACGAGCCTATTTTACCGTGTTATACAAGTATATGGGAGTCTCTTAACTAGTTGTAGATAAATGAATGAAAATAAACAAGGATTATATAAAAAATTACTGCAAATAAAGGTAATACAAAGGTGTAGATGATTTCAGAGCATAATCTGGCAATGGATGAAATTCTTTAAGGAATATGTGGTAGTAATATATAGTGGATTCTTTATTGTTACATCTAATAATGGCGAAGAATTTATCTAATATTAGCTATCGCAGACCGGCCGGAAGGAATACCTACTCAATGGTGCAGTTTTTTAAAAACGTAAGTTATATCAGCACGGAAGTGATGTCCTTATCGCGTACACGTTCCCATTACGATTTTCTTGGTCATTTCATTGAAAAGCTCGTCAGATAACAGTTAAATATCATTTGCTACAGCATCACTGGTTATCTCGGTGAAGTAATAGTAAGAGTAGTGAGACATGCAACATTTAAAGCAAGTCATCCGACGTGCTCATCGTGTCGACGTTATAAACACGTCAGAAATTGCTTCACGATGTTACATTTAGAATGCAACTAATTCATCCGTGTTACTAAAATTTCCAACGAAATTATTCTTTTGTGAACGTCTGAGATTATCCGTAGATATCTAAAAACTGTACAGTAAATTAGTAAAAAAAAAGAGTACCGCACTAAGAAATTCTTGTTAAAACAATAATTGTTATCATCTTTAACTTACAAATACTCTTGGAGTTATAATCACTGACAAATATTCATTTACACTTGTGTTATAAACAGCAACAAAAATTGTCCTCCATAACGTTACCGTTACTATTTTTCCTATAAGCTTAATACAGGTGAGCATTTTCATTTTTGCTGAGCAGAAATAGGGACATTTTATACTACATATTTAATGAACTATTATTAAGTTATAATGTTTTTAAAAATACTTTTATTTAAACTTACTTATAAAGGGAGGTTTAAATTTTACATCTAATATGTTTTCATGTCGATCGTTGCATAAATAAATAATAAAAATCAATTTCTGCAATAGCAGAAATCTTACATGATTAGAAATAGGGGCATTGACCTTATGTCTAATAAAATTCGTACAATGTTCGATGTAATACGAAGGACTGATAATAAAACGGCCATTTCATTTGCAACAACCTAATAGAAGGGTTGACTGTACGAATCAATGAAAAATTAAATGGTGAACATCAGCATCCGGATACACGCCACACATATCGCGGATCGAAGAAACGGTAGCAGCACACCGTAGAGACGCGCCAATATCCGAGCGAAAGGGCTGCGCAATCGTGATTTTTTTCCATGGAGCCAGACCGAATCGTGAGCCGGCGTTCGTATTGGATGGCGGCATCCGATCTGAAAATATATTGCATAAATATACCATGTTAACAACGTTGCAGCACAGACAACGGGGAGAATCTGTTGGCGACTGGGACGCCCGTGACAGGAAAGAGAGAGTAAATCCCGTAGCGGTAGCCGGGGCTCTTGCCCGATCGCGGATCGCGTTCGATCGCTGACACGAATAAGTGAAATGAGACTCATCGATCGGAGACGAGCACGGTTTCTGTAATAATCAACGGAGTTATGCAGACGATCGAATCGAACGACTCCACTTCGAACGGCGCGGCGTAACTTCCATTCTGCTTTTGGAAACAGCGAACGACGATGACTGACACCGCTCACGAGGGAAACTCTTGACTCGTCTGCCGAGTTTGACAAGCTTCGCGTTCCCAGGAACGGCAGAGTTGGGCAAAATTTAATCTAATTACAAAATCCAAATCACAATTACAATGTAATTCCAATATAATTAAGGGAAAATTAGAATTACATTGTAATTAACTATACTAAATTTACAATAAAAATTACAATGTAATTGTGATTTGGATCTTGTAATTAGAGTAATGTCTCGATGAGTGCGATGTACTCGGGTCCACTTCGGAGCATTCATGGCAAGGCGGAAAGGTTTTCAGCCCCTCATAAATTTGTTTTTCGCCCGAAGCCGAGCCTCTGCTTAGCCTCTGTTTATTCTGTATTGATTGGTTCCACATGGGAACTCCCCCCAGTGGTGGGAATAATGCCATTGCTCGTGTCGCATTCATCAATTTAATAAAATAATTTATTGCCATTTTTTCTGGTAAAAATAAGGTAAGTTAGCAGTACAAAATTGTATGCAACGGCCGTTACTGCTGTATATACCTAATGTAACAAATAATTTAAAAACAAGAAAGCTTTTTTTGTAATCAAATTGGGTTACAATGCTTTTTTTGTAATCAATATTGGGAATTTTTTTGTCATATTTAACATTATAGCTCATTTATTGCCGCGCTCTCGTGCGAACGATATTCCACGCGTGACTTTAAACAAATTAACGCGTTAAACGTATCATTCCCGCCGCGGCGACGTGAACGTAAAAATCGAGGGAACGCGATGAGTGAGAGCAAGTAAAAGGATCGTAATCGCGATCGTCATCCTAGAAGTGAAGCACGCGCGCGAGAACGAAAGTCCTTGTGGGAAACGGTATGCGTGGAGCGAAGAATCGAAAGGTATTATTAAAAGTCGATTCAACTATCTTGTAACTTAAATTCCCCCGGGTAAATGACGTTTACCGAACGCAGAATGACGAAAGAAACACGTAATTCAATTACAAAACACTTAATTCTAAGCTAACGATTTTATGAAGTATCAATGATCACAACGTTAACATTCCGTGATGCATCAATTTGTACAGGGGTTGTCTGGTACCTGCGTTTTTTGTGTTATCGTTTTGTCAACATCTAAAAGTTCTTTATCTTTGGCGATTATTATTGAATTGTATCAATATATTGTTAGGTTTTTGTATTATCTTGAACACATGGAAAATATTGTGTTTGCTTTGTAATGTATAGACCACTGTGCTGTAATATATGAGTGGTTGTACATAAATTTAACATAAACATGTCTTGTAGTTATATTCATAGACAAATGTAATATTTTTATTGTGTAAATAATACTACGACGTAATTTGATATTTAATATTTCATTGTGGTATTAATAACTATAATACCTGAAATACATAATTTAGGAAAAGGCTAGTAAAATATTATCACCTTTATCTTAAAGAATATATAAAAGACGAAATACATAATAAAGTAATTTCAAATAAACCGCCAACGCTACATTTTGTACACTCGTACTTCGTCGATCAGGGGTTCGTTTTTAACGCCTTATGTAAAATTACGAGAATTGTATAGACACACTTTGATCAATTTTAGGATTGGTAAATTTATCAGTAATTTGTAATATTGACAATACCAGTATGTCTATAATATTCTAAAATTTAGGAACGCGATAAAAATTCATAGGTAAGGTTAGGGTCTAGCTATGTGAACGGAATTTCGTAATTATTATTGATAAATTTTATCACTTAAGTTTTATCGTTTAAGAGTGTACGATAATTAACGTTTAAAAGCGTTTTGTCTTTAAAATTTATACTGACATTATATATCAATTTAAAGTACCTAGTTAATCGAATATCAAATACTTGACAATACGTTCAATATGTGATGAAATTATGTTTAATATTCTTATCAAACATTTTACTATAAAATAATTTTTAACAACGATTAATTACATAATATATAATGATATATTCATTTATTTCATGGCAGACAAAGTTTTTTAACACAATCAAGAAAAAGAAAGTAAAAAAACTATGTCGACGTTGACACGCATGCGTTTTATTAATGGTGGGGGGCTTCTTCGAGAGAAAATACTCCATAATTTTGGACAAAGAGGAATATCATCTGCTCCTGCTGTGAAAAAATCAAAGATGGTACGTTCTTCACGGTGAATTTAAGAATTGAACATATTAAAATTGTTTTATTACACGAAAAACTGCGTTTTTAATGTAGTACAAGTCTAGATCTACAATAAAATCGATTTGAACATTTTTTTAACGTTAGAATCTTCTGTTCTTAATTTATTACAATCACTGTCATTTATTTGCTTTATTACTTATAATCATTTTTGTAATTTAAGGTGAGAAAAATAATATATTAATAATATCGTCTGTAAAAATACCTCTACACATTCTCTGGATGTAACAAGTGGTTGAGATTATAAGAGCTTGCTATGTAAATTATTACTTTATAATTACGTCGGAAGAATAAAACTTATATAAAAATCGTAGTATACTTTATCGCAATATTATTTAGAAGATTAAAAGAATTGATTTTCATCGAATAATATGAATTATTTTGCATCATATGTTAGAAACCTAAGAACGTTCGAAATATTTCCTTATCCGAACGATTAGATTTTCCTGTCACCATCACCCTTGAATAAAGTAACTTTTTGGTTTTCGAAACTTATTTCACTAATAATTCATTTGATTCTTTGAATAATTCAATAAGCTTCTTTAATATGAACATTCATTTTTTTAAGATAATTTTGCATTTTTCAGGGAAAACTCACTGAGGAAGAAAGAAAAAAAAAACTAACACCATTATTGACCAGTGGTTGGTCTGTTCAGACAGATAGGGATGCCATTTACAAGGAGTTTCTGTTCAAAAATTTTAATCAGGTTTGGCTTAGATACACATTACCTGATACTGTTTATATTATTCTTTATTGTCAGGTACATATCTCTTTCTTTAATTATATTGGTAGGCTTTTGGCTTCATGGCTAGAGTGGCAATGCAAGCAGAAAAAATGGATCACCATCCTGAATGGTTCAATGTTTACAATAAAGTAAATATTACTCTCTCTTCCCATGATGTGAATGGTTTATCACAAAGGGATGTTAAACTTGCAACTTTCATAGACAATGTTGCTAAGTTGGATGTAAATTAAAACAATAAATTCAAATGATGTATCCATGAATAAATTTTTCTGTGAATATCTCAGAGTTTATATTAGATTATAAAGATTGTATAAAAAATATTATATTATGAGTACACCATATGATCTAAACACTTGTTTTATTTTATAATTTTAATAAATAAACATAACTTTTTTTAATAATATGGGCTACATAATAATTTTTTGGACTATAAATCTTATACTCTACCTTTCTAAATAACTTTTTCGATATCACACCATTCATATTGTATGATGTTTATTAATACAATATGACAATTAAAGACACATTTTATTTCTGAATACCTTACAAGACATTAAATTACAAAGTCCTAAATTAACATATTAACAGCCTATTAAAAAGCTGATAATAACAACTAATGTTGTGGTGGTTCTGAAGATTTTTGTTTGCCAATTGCCCAGAAATCCTTAATAGATCTTGCAACACCAGGACCATTATGTATAAGTACCAATAGTCCAGCCAGAGTAACTGCTGAAAGCAAAATCAATGAAATATGCAAAACTTTTGGTATTATTGGTCCAACAACAATGGGACGTGCATAGTCTGTGATCATGGCCTCGAAACCCCTGTTTAAGAATAAATATATTAGTACAAATTTGAAAAGATTTCTAATATCTATTAATAAATTCAGAAAATAGAAAAAATTGCTAAGCAATATTCATAAATATTTATGAACTATTTATAATGCAAAACTATAAACTACATTATTTACCAATGCATATGCATTACAACTAAAACAGACATAAGTCCATCAAGGGCTGCATTTTCCATTATGAATGCAGCAGGCATAACAATTGGAAGTGCCATAGCCACAATTCTTTCCAAAACCCACATTTTTACATGATCACCAGTAGGTGTAGCTGCATTACGAGTTTGTTGTAGACCAACAGTTGTGGTTGCAGGGAACTAAAAATTAAATAAATATTTCTTTTCCAACTATATGTATACAAATTCTTACAGATTATACAAAAGTTATTACCTTCCTTAGGAAACCATTACTTCCATTGGTTATTACATTAGAATTTAAACATCTATTAAGACCAGATGAACTTGTTGATGTTCTGACAAGTTGAAGTGGTTTGCAAGTGTTTGAAAATATACTAGTTTTAGAAATAGATTCTACAAACATAAAGCATAGAAGAATTCATATTAAAATATATTCTTCAATAGAAAAAGGATAATAAAACTGTTACAAAAATCTTAAAAGAAACGCTCAAGACTGTCACAGATTGATTTCAATAAAATTATGCAGAATACTGGATATATACATCTAAAATCTATCAGTAAAATTGTGTTTACAGAACTTTGTTCCAGAAAATCAGTAGAAAACAATCATGAGCCTCTCCTTTATAACTGATTATCTTATAACGTTGAAATATAACAGGAATTACAATTAAGATTCTAAATATGTGTTACTCTATTTTTCCAAGAATAATGAACTAAAACAATCAATATTACGTTCAGTAAAGTAAATATAAAATGGTTTTGTCAGTGAGGTTACATACATAGTCAACCAAGATTATGTAAACGAACAGAATTGAAATATTATCTGAAATTATAAATACACTTACCTAACTGTCTAATTTTACGAAAAATGTTTCCACTAATCATCCTTTCGAAAATCATTTTGTTAATTACTAAATACAAAATTTTTCAAGAACAACACTTCCTTTCCACAGAAAGCAGCGAACTTCTCTCCGATTCTCGTGACAGCAAATTTTTACAATTATAGTAACATACAGGTAAAAATACGACTGCAAATGAATGTTTCAAGTATCGACTGTGCCTATATCGATTTTGATTTTCAACTTATCGAACTCCTTACTTTAATTTTGTATGACAAAAATCTAAATAATTTATAAGATATCTGTTATAAAAATATATATACTGCATGAAAATGTTAGTATTTTACGTTATTAGGATGATCTTATTATATATTATTTTATGAACACCTGTTCAGAAACAATTAAATAACAATGCTGTTCCCATTTGCTAAATAATAAGTCAATTTTAATAAATACTCCATTATTTATTAATATTTGTTCAAATAATGTAATAGAAAACACATAAACTTCGGTTCTCAAGTTTTTTTCTAATTGAGAAACACTGCCTTAAAGCACAGGTTATCAGTCAGGTTAAGAATCTGTAGACAACAAAGTCGTCCTAGGTATAGTAATCACGATAATGTCGGTTTCAGTAGCAACTCCAAATGACTCTAAACGTGAAGTAATAAATACTCTGAAAATATAAGCAAAAAAATACCATTTTCTGTGAGGAATATTGTCTTTTGTTAGTATAAATAAATACACGCTATATTTCGTAGTGAATTATTAAATAAACGACGATGTCTGACTTGGATAATAGAAATAATTCCAATAACAGTACATGTGACCGTGACAGAGATCAAAGAGGCAAAAAAGATCGTCGTTTTAATAACGACTACAAAAGAAATCGGGGTTCATACCATGGCGGTAAAAACTAAAAACGAGAATATTCAAAATGTTTAATGCATGCGAATGTATTCAATTCTGTAACCTACATATTTTTTTAGGATACCAAAAAGATTTTGGTAAGAGACCATTCAAACGCAACTGGTCGAACAATCAAAATGACGGAAAGAGGAAAAAATTGGAAGTTGGTAGACGACTGAAAGAACATGAAGTCGGCATTACAGAATTTATAGGTAGTGAAGGATTTTTTGGTGTAATTAAAGAAAGATACACAGACTTTCATGTCAATGAAATTACGCTTGATGGAGAAACAGCTAAATTGACTAATCAAGACATGCCAGAAGACCCTAAAGAAGATCAGAATATTGAAGATCTGCAGCATAGTATACCAGATAAGATATGGGATCTGCTGCAGGCATTAAAAGACCCAGTATGTTCTTCTATAAAGATAGATGTAACAAATATGGATAAAAATCAACGCAGAGCAATTCATACTATTGCTAAAAAACTAACAAATGTTATTAGTCAAACTGTTGACAAAGAAACTAAAAAGATCATGGTGATTGTACCAGATAAACAGGATAACAGTAGTAGTATGTTTCAAATTATTATTGATACAGAATTTGTTTAATTACCTTAATGTCACATTTTCTTTCACCAGGTCATAATATTCGAAGGGATAATAGGGTAGACTGGAAAAAGCGTGGTGAATATTGTTACTTTGTACTGCACAAAGTGAATATGGATACGATGGATGCTTTGAATCAGTTAGCTATGAACTTACGTATAAAATCAAATAATTTTAATTATGCTGGGACAAAAGATCGTAGGGCATGGACAACTCAGTGGGTTAGTTTGAGAAGGATGGAACCATTGGATATATTGAGAGCAGCAAAAAATGTACGAGGAGCTTATGTGGGAAACTTTAAATTTATGAAAAAACCTTTAAAACTAGGTATGCTCAATGGCAATCACTTCAGGATTGCTCTGAGAAATGTTAATGGAACAGATGAGCAAATTGAGCAAACAATGATTTCTTTGAGAGACCATGGTTTCATTAATTATTATGGTCTACAGAGATTTGGTACTGTGGCTGCTATTCCAACTTATGACATAGGGAAAGCTCTCCTTCAGGGTAAGTTTTGTTTTTTCAAATATTGTAACTACTACTTTATTCAAGAGTTATTTGGATATTGAAATATTTTTAATTTCGTGTTGTATATTTATTATAAATAGGTAAATGGAATGAAGCAATCGAACTAATTTTGAAACCTAGAGAAGGGGAACAAGATAGAGATTTAGCAGAAGCTAGGAAGGTATATGCATCCACCAAGGATGCAGCTACTGCCTACAAGAAGATTAGAAGATACGACAAAATAGAAGCTACACTTTTAAAGGGCATTTGTATATCTGGAAATAATAATCCCCAAGGAGCCTTAGATGCAATACCAAGGAATGCTCGCTTAATGTATATTCACGCGTACCAAAGCTTTGTGTGGAATCACATGGTATCAAGAAGAATAAAGGAATTCGGAAGGAAGCCTGTAGCAGGAGATTTAGTATACGAAAATAATACTAAACAAAATGATAACGATAGCGATACTGCTAATGATAATGATAATGAAAACTTCGTGTATGTTAATGAAAATGAAGTTAAGACTGAGGATAATACGGAGTCTAATGAAAAAACAATTAAACAGGAAGCAAAAGATGTGCTCCAAGAAGATGTTAATGAACATGAAACTGAAACTGAGGATAATACAGAGTCTAATGAAAAAACAATTAAACCGGAAGCAGAAGATGTTAATGAAAATGAAGTTGAGGCTGAAAATAATACAGAGCCCGATGAAAAAACAAGTGAACATAAACATGAAGCAAAAGATGTGCTGAGAGAAGGTGAAATGACTGAAGTACCTATGGAAACGTCTTCTTCGATTAAAGAAGTAACAGATGCTACAGAGTGTTGTTTAAAAATAAACGAAAATGTTGCAGATAGTAATACTACTAACGAGAAAGATGACAATGAAGACTTGCTTAATCTTCCAACAGTAAAGATTCTTACAGAGGAAGATTTGCCGAACTATACTCTGGCAGATGTATTAATGCCTCAGGTTGGCTGGAAAGTCACGTACCCGCTGTACGCTAAATCCTGGTATGACGAGTTTTTAACAAAGGATGGACTGACTACAGACCTTAGACAAAAGAATAAGTAAGCTATGAAAGAACTATATGCACATGTTACTTTCAAATATTATGCTTGCTTCTAAACTTATATTTTGTTCGTTTCAGAAAATATAGCTTAGGTGGAGCTTATAGAAAAATACTGCAAGTTCCTACGAATTTATCTTGGAAAACAATGCATTATAAAGAAAAGCACAGTGATCTTATTATGTGTGACATTGATGAGATTAGAAAGTCATCGCCTCCAAAAGATGAACCAGGTATAATTTTTTTTATAAATAATGATACATTAGACATCTGGTAGATTATTTTGATCTAAGAAACGAGTGAATGAGAGGCAAAGTGTAAAAGATTTTTTGTTTTCAGAAGGGCAATATAAAGCTTTGATTATTGAGATGTCTTTAAAATCGTCTACGTATGCAACAATGGCTTTGCGTGAGATTTTGAAATACGATACTTCTGCGCAAGCGCAGGCTGCCCAATCTGCTGCATGTAACCCGGACCCGGAGAATGCTAATACCTCAAAGAATATTACTGAAAATGTAAATATATGTTCTTTGCAAGATACAAATAAGAACGTTGATGAAGGAAAGAGTTTGGAATTAGAAGCAAAGCAATCAAATGATTCCAATACACTAAAACAAAGTGAACAGGATGATGGTAAAATGGAAATGTCCAATGCAGTATAGATCTGTGATATATTTCTAACTACTTAAGAATTCGAAACTTATTAAGTTCTTTGTACAAGCAAATAAAACATGTAACAGATTAGTATAGTCCACCATATGTTATATTATGTTTGATATTAATGTATGTATTATTTAGTATGAATTAAATTCATTTTTTTCTATAAAGATATGTCATTTTTGCGTTATAATAATAGGTACTCGTACATTGAGATTTAAAGTCAGTTTTACAATACAAAACTAAATATTCATTTTTAATCTTAGATGATTATGTGAAGATATACCTATGAACTTAAAAAACACAGACAAAAAACAAATATCATCATTACAGTGTAATGTTACAGCTTATACACTATGTTCACAATAAATTAGAATTTAATGTGATCCTATCTAATGTCATCCAGAATACATACAATATATATGAATATGAAATCATGCTTACCAAAGGAAAGCATTATGTTCTAAACCTTCATTTATACGAATAATTATTTACATATATGTATAAATAAAGTAAGCAAATGCACCTTTTCTATAGTTTTTTAATAAAATGTTTAATAGAAAGTATATTCGTATCACAAAAATACATTTGATATGTATTCTATAGTTCTACTGAAAATTTAACATTTTAAATTTTTGATAACTACGTCAAATATGGCTCTATTTTTTAATATCGTTAAATGAATAAAAATGAAAAATTGTTCTTGAACGCATTTCAAATGTCAAAATATTTTTACGAATCGTTTGCTTGTCATATATTTAATATGCATGGCAATGTAATCAAACAGTTTTGTAGCTGTTAAATAATTTGAGATTTTTTCAATAACCTTTATATTATGCCCATAGAGTCTTACAGCATAAGAAAGGGCGTTTCAGCTGCTAATGCACAATTGTTCACAATGTAAATTTCACATCTGTGTTGGAAACATTCTCTATTTTATTAATCCGGGAAAACTTTAAATTTCATTTATGTATGATTAAAATAAAGAAGATGAATAATTTTTATAAAAGTGTATATATGAATGAATATGTTATTAACGGATATCTAAACACTGAAGTTACTACTGTTTAATAAAGTCGCAAAAATAAATGGGATGAATATCTATGACAGTTGATACGACGTAAAAAAATGAGGAAAAAAGGAAAAGAAAAAACTATCTATTTATATAATATACATTTAGTAAATATTATAACTTTACACTTTTACAAAGAAATGTACACAGAGATATTAAGCAACAGTTTCATTGTAATTTCTCTGTGTTATTTTACTTTATAATATAATGTAGTTCCAATGAATATCCCTAACAACAGTTTCTTATCAGTGATAGTCAAATTTTCAAACAGTTGTATATAGAGGTCTTAAAACGCACTGTCGTATTAAAAAATTTGAAAGTATAACGACAAAGAATTTTAGAAGTAAATTTTGAGTAAACATGGTCCTATTAGGTGAAACATTCCCGAACTTCGTGGTAGAAACGCAAAATGGCAAAATTAATTTTCACGATTGGCTAGGCGATTCGTAAGGCTATATTTATTCAGTGGACATAACCTTCAATATTATGCATTATGTTTTTGAATATTACAGCTTTCTCATTTATTTAGTGTTACTATCACTAATCTTGTATAAATAGTTAATATTTGCACATATTAATTACGTAGAATTACTGTTGACATAATTACAAAAAAATATGTTTTGTTTAAAACCACTTCTATGAGATAAATGTGTTTTTTTAGATGGGGAATTTTATTTTCTCATCCAAACGATTTTACGCCGGTATGTACAACAGAATTGGCCCGGGTAGCAAAATTGATGCCTGAATTTAAAAAACTGGGAGTGAAAGTTATTGGTCTATCATGCAATTCGGTCAAATCGCATCGTAAATGGATAGAGGTAAATTTCAGTTATTTTTAAAAAATTTTATTTGACATTTTACGAAGATAATAAACAATACAGGCTGAATAAGAATTTTAAAAATGCGACCGCATTTCTGTGATTTTTTTAGGACATAAAATCTTATGGAGAAATAATCGGAGAGTTTCCGTTTCCGATAATAGAAGACGAATCACGGAAACTCGCGACATCATTGGGAATGTTAGATCCTTCAGAAGTTGATGGCCATGGTGTACCCATGTCTGCTAGAGCAGTATTTATCATTGATCCAGTTAAGAAGATGCGATTATCAATTTTATACCCTGCAACAACTGGAAGAAACTTTGAGTAATTTCTTTTCCGTTTATCCAATGTTTGAAAATTAATTTTCATTATTGTGTATTTATCAATATCATTTTTGGACACAGTGAAATTTTAAGAGTGATTGAATCACTTCAACTCACAGAAAAGCATAAAGTGGCAACTCCTGCTGACTGGAAGGTTTGTATTTATAGTATCAACTATCTGTTCGAAACACTATTATCCTTACAGTTATAAAATGATTAATTCTTGCATCATGGATTTCAGAAAGGTGAAGAAGTTATGATTCAGCCTACTGTGTCTTACGAGGAAGCAAAAATGCAGTATGACAATATTAAAACTGTAACACTACCATCTGGCAAAACTTATTTGCGTATTGTACCTCAGCCAACCTAAATATAAATAATTCTTTGAAATATGAAAAACAATTATTTTACAATGTATTTTCTTAAATTACCCAAAATTGATGTTTGTAAAAATTAAAGTACACGTTCTGATAATATATTGAATTTTTTCTAATATTATAGTACTGTTGTATTCTTCGAAGTATAATTATAAATAAGCGTATTCATTTAGTGCCTTAACATTGGTACATAACAGTATATCATTCCAAACAGAATACAGTAGAAATGAACATTTTTTTTTTATTTAAAATTTCTTAATAATTTAGGACAAAAATAATTGAAAATAATGCGCTAAAAAATATTTTTTCGAAATATCCATGCTTTGAATTTTCACTGTCTTTATCTTCCATGCACACTTTCCACTGTTTCTATTAACACAATTCACAACTTATTTTTCTTGTAAGGCTGTTCATTGATTAAGGTGCAAGTAGTTATCAAAACAAAGATTCTAATGTTGGTATTTGCAAACAACAAAAGAAGCTGTTTATTATATCACCTAATGTAATTAAAAGTACACTGTGTTATATACATTTTTTCCAAGTACACGATCGCTTAAGGTCTCTAGGCATAATGTATATAATATTTACACTGTTCTTGTTTTCTTTATTAAGTTATTTCTAAATTTACTTTGCTACATTACGGTTATACCTTATTTTATGCCTGAATGATCCGCGAACTGTTGCATGACTACGCAATAGTGTGATAGCAGTTATATAAAACAGTCCCTCGTCAAAACCAATGAAGATCATAAAGAATAATAAATTTAACAAAACTATACTTTGTTATTGTAAAGTTATATAATTAAAAGTTAATTACCACACAATATATCGAGTGATAAAATACTATTGCCAGCCTTCGTACTTAAACAGCTTCATGTTATACATTCACACTGACAGTATGGTAATTCGCGCGTGTCTAATGACAACACGTGCCTCTCATTATTTGTCCCACTTCTTCCATATAACCTGGAAGGAGAAATCAAATTCTATAAATGTTTTTCATTCTTTCTTTTTCAAGTTCTTCGAATGCACTTGTGCTCTATTTAACTAAGAATTGTCGATGCATTGGGTCATTTATTTTAAATGTCTATCGATCGACCATTTGTTTCTTTTCTTTCTTTCTTTATTATTTTTTTGGAAATATCGTTGTGCGAATACTGCAGAATTATTGCAATAAAAATAGCCGCGACAACGGAAGATTTGATCATTATCATCACCAGTATCACACCGAACTCACTTAAATGTTGTCACTTCACTCGCTCGTTGTGTGAGTCTCTTGCTGCTGATCAGCTTGAAGTTCACCTTCCATTCTTGCTTGTCGTTCTGCTGCTGCTCTTGCTTGTCTTCCAGCACTAGACCGAAGATTTTTCCGTTCTGGTGGAGGTTCTACACTGAGCCGTTTACCGCTTCGTGCTTTTTTCCCTTTAGTGCCTTTGTTATCTTCCTCTGTTTCTGACGTTAACTTTGAAGAATCTCCCTTAGCGTTATTAGTGCTTTGTTGCGATATAGATGGCTCATCCGACACAATTGTCACCGGCGTCGTAGAAGTAGGTGTCAGTATAGACGTAGGGGTGGGCGTAGGTGTAGAAGTTGGTGTAGATACTGGTGTGGATGTTGGTGTAGGTGTAGTCGGTGTATGTGCTGGGGTTGGTGTGGGTGTACGCGCTGGTATAGGTGTAGGCGTGATTGTAGTTGCAGGTGTAAGTGTAGTTGTTGTTACCGAAGCATTTGTTTCATTCGTTTCTTTCTTGTTAGTGTTTGGCGATGTTTCAGTTATAGTGATAGCATTGTTTTCTTCTAGTAAAGTTGGCTTAATCGTGACAGACGAAGACCTCGTTCCGTATTCAACTTCGACTGCTGACACATCCACAGGTGTTATAGTTGTAATTGGAGCGGTCGTTATAGGTTTTGTCGTCACTTCAATTTCGATTCGTGGCTTTTTGGTGACCGGTTCGAGGGTCACCTCAAGCATGCTTGTTGGTGGTTGCTGCTCGTGGCTGTAATCCGTGCTGCGACCTCTCTTTTCATTCGATCGTTGAATATCTTCAAGATTTCTCGTCAAAAGCTCGGCGCTGGTTCTGCTTAAATGTTCCAGAGCTTCTTTCATTTCCTGTTCTTTATTCTTCTTTTCGAGTCTTCGCTCGGAAAGATCTGCTACATCGTTCTGTTCCATGGCTTCTCTTTTCTCGTGTTCTACTCTACGTCTGCTGTCTTCGCTGTGTAACGCCGCCATATCCGTGTACTGTTGCAATGTTAATCCAGGGTCCATGGAATATCTTGATTTTTTCTCGGCATCTTTCCGTTTAGTCGTCGAGTCACTCATGGTGTCTCGTTGCCTTGAATTATTTCCCGATGATGTTGGTTTACGTACCGTTGATGCGCTTGAAGTCGCTGGATTCAGAAGACCGCATTGAGCAAGGCTTTCGTAGGCCGATGATACTCCGCCAGGTTGCATGGAGAATGGATTCAGACCACCCAAACCGAGCGGCGTATATAAAAGACTCGGATTTGGAAAAAAGAACGGGAATGGCGTCGTTGTCGGTATCGTAGACGATGCCGATGAAGTCGAAGGCACCGAAGATTTACTCGTAGGTGGTTCCAGTTTGCTACGGGACTTTCCAGTGCTGCTAATGCTCGTCGAGCCAGTATTTTTACTGCTGACAGAACTAACGACTGGATTCGTATCAGCCGTGCTAGTCGCTGCTGTTGCGCCCAAGGCAGCTTCCATACCCGCTAACGATGGTAAACCAAGTCCAGCAAGATTTGCGAATAAAGAATTCGTTAGACTCATGTTACTTAGGTTACTGAGGTTGCCCAGCCCGCTTAATGCGCCCAAATTTGGTAAACCACCGAACGGCATTAGAAGAGGATTGTTCTTCGGGTCGAAATTGCCAAGGGAAAGACCAGACAGAAGAGAGTTGTTCAAGTTACCCAAGGAAGGGAAGTTTAGGCCTGAAGCCATCGATGTAGCTGCCAGATTGGCTTGACTCGCAGACTGCTGACTAGTAGGGCTTGGCATCATGGGCGGTCTTCCTGGACTCTTACCCTTACCTACGTTACTTCTATCATTTCCTGATAATCTCTTCTGCAAATCGTGAGGAAGATTCCCACGTTCTTTCACAAGTTCGGCCCACTTTGGATCCACATCGAACATTGGGTTTTCCATCAACCATTGTCCTAGACGTTTCAGTTGTGGGGCCTTGCTTCCAGTAACCTAAAATAAATAATTTTACCTTAATAAATCAATTTCCTCAAAATAACCTTCCTTTAAAGAAATTAAGGAGGTGAACAGAATAACGTAAAAAAACATTCCTACACAAACCTTTTTGCCAGTCATTCTATTAATCACAGCAACATTTTCTTCGCCCGTTAATTTTTTCCAGTCCAGCAAGGATGGATCAACGCGTGGTCGTCGCCGTCTGGGTGCGTTTAAATATTCTGCACTCAGCTGCTCGGACATGGCAGTTTGTTCGGCTAACCATTTGTTTACTTTCGCTTCGTGCGAGTACGATCCGATTTTAGAAGAGTATTCAGCAACTTTGTTGATGTCCGCAATCATTGCTTCGTAACTCTTTCTATGACTACTTGACGACGAATGCGCTGAATTGAAACTTTGCTGCTGCTGCTGGTGCTGCTGCTGTTGTTGTTGTTGTTGTTGCTGCTGTTGCTGCTGCTGTTGTTGCTGCTGCTGTTGCTGTTGTTGCTGCTGCTGTTTCTTAAATTCACGATTTTGTTGCTCCGCTTGAGCAATTAAAGCAGAGAAACTATCTTTGTGCGAATGTAAAGACGGAGGAGGTAATGAAGACGTGGAGCTCGACGCTCGCGAAGAAGGAATCGAAGTAACGGTAATCGAAAAAGGTTTCTGGGTACTCGTCGGAGGATTCGGAAGACCCATAGGTGCTGATGTTGGAGTAACCGTCACATTCGGCGTAATTGTACTCTTTTTACTGTGTTCCGGATAATGAGTGCTTTGTTGTTCCTTTGCCGCACTCAGTCCTAGTACTATTTCGTCAAGCTTTCTACGCTTCTTCTCCTTTCCAATGACAGGTTCATCCGGTGGACCACCTTTTCTCTTCATTAGTTTATCTAACATACTATCTAATTTTCCTTTATTACTACTAATTTGTTTATTTTTATTTGGCATTGAAAAGTCTTGAACCTCATTCATAATATCTTTACTACTATCAGTAGTCGGTTTTGGATACCTGAAAATCACGAACATTTGAATCACACTCGAATAAATCATTAAAACTTGCATTGATTATTACGCAATTAGTTCAGATCAATGCCTCGTAGAACATAATAATCTTACCCAGCAGATAAGTCGATGGGTGTTAATGTACTCGAAGTCCCAGGAATTACAGTCGGTTTTCCAGGAACCGTATACTTCAAGTCGAAAGGTATCCCCGGAGTTCGTGCTTGTTGATGTGCTGGAGGTGGCTGAACCGGTGTAGAACGTCTCGATTCTTCAGACTGTGATTCATCATTCATTTCCCACGTATTAGATCCAGATAATACTGTAGGCTTACTTAAAGCCGTAGGTGGTTGTGTGGATGTATGGCTACTATTCAAAAGAGCATGAAGTTTTGCTAAAAAAAAAGAAAAAAAAACAAAAAAATAACGTACAATTGTTACGTATTAAATAAATGCAAAAGATTTGTAAAAGTTGTTTCGGCGATTCTACGGATTTCATTACCTCGTTCAGTCTCTACATCAATAGCAATATGTCTCTTCCGTTTCTTCGATAGTGGCATATTATTCCCTGATGTTGTATTACGTGATACTCCGTGGTCTGTTGTTATAGTTATTACTTCGGAACATTCTTTTTCGTTTGATGGAATATCTACTTCCTCACCAGCACTGAAGTTTACAGACACAGGCCATTCTTTGTGTTCGATCGCATGAACGATATGCATTAAACGAGCTTCGATAGCATGCTCCTATAGAAACAGAGGAAAAACTTGGAATGCAATAGTGGCGATGTGAAAGGAATATTATGTATAGACTTGCTTACACAAGCCAAATTTGACAAGTGTAACGGAAACGTTTCAGACTCTCATATATACTATCCAATCTTCTTTTTAATATCTCTTAATGCATCAAGCAAATGTACGGAAGCTCCAAAAAAAACAGAATTTTTTTTTCCACACACACTAACGGCCGCATATGTAGCAAAGTTTACAATTTTACAACACGCCATTTACATTCCACGACTCCCGGAATCAGGTTAGAACATACAATAAAGGACAATTACATAAACGAATCGAGTTCTATTTACCTTTGGCCATTTCACAGCGTTGTTACAATTGTGCGACAAAAGATGCACAACCGTGGGTTCGTTATAATCTACTGGCTTGTCGCGAAGAACGAAAGTATCGATTTGCGTCAATCGCGATAACGGCTGTATAACCTCCAAATCAGGAAACATTGCTTTAAGTTCGGCTGCTTGAACGCTGCATTTATCCTCGATTTTGCACACTTTCTTATCCTTAGACGTATCTATCGGTTTTCCTTCTTGCGTTTCGGTTGCCTCCTCTTTAACAACTGGAGGATCAGCTTTTATATTCGTTTTACTATCCTCTACTATTGCAGTTTCAGTATTTTCTGCCGATTTTTCGGTTGTCTCTGTCGCGTCTTTTTGTTCTGTTACATTCTTTTCATTGGTCTCTGATACAACTTCTGAGGCTTCTGGTTCTTCAACTTTTTCTTCTTGCGTTTCCTTTTCTGTTTCTTTTGTTACATCGTTTTCTGTAATCGGACTTTCCTTTTCCGTTTCTGTCGTAGCGGTAGCTGTTGTTTCTTCAGCACTTGGCGTCGCGTTATTTACTTTCGTTTCATCCACCTTATCAGTTCCTGTAACTTGATCACCTTTAGGAACTTCAGTTTTTATCGATTCTATTACTATTTCGTTTTTCTCCTCAGTTTTTACTTTCGTTACAGGCTCTTTTTCCAGTGACATAGTCCTTGGAACGGTTGTAATTGTTAACGCATTACTTATAGGTTTTTCTTCGACTTTATTTTCCGCCTTGATGATAGTTAGCTCAACTTGACTCTTCTCAGAATCTACAATGTCTATTCTCTTGTCTGACGCGCTTGTATCTTTATCCTTCTTCGCGCCCACTTTTTCTATCTTCAACGTACCTTCACCCTTCTCCAATTTCACAAGTATTTCATCTTTATCGAACTTCAATATATCCTCTCTGTTTTCAATTTTAATTGCTTTTTCAGACTTATCCAAAATTTTAGGTGTCTGGATATTACTGTACATTTTCGAACTTAGAATTTTATGAAATGAAAAATCGGGATCATTTAAAATTGTTATATCGGTACGCCCTAAGCCATGCTTTGCAGCTCCAAGCAGCAACTCTTTATCGTGTTTTCCAGGTTGCCACCAGTCAGGTGTGTCACCTGACGGTTGACACAATGAAAGCCGTTCCTCCAAGTGAGGATGAGATAATGAGATATACACATAATGTTTAAATACCCTAGCGCCTAAAAATATGTAACGTTCAATTTCAAATTAAATATTACGATATTTAAATAATATTCTTTAATTAGTCATCAAATGTTCAGATGCGATACGTAATATTAACGCAGTACTCAATTTAGAAAACTAGGCCACTTCGAACATTTGAATAATTATTGCAATGATAAAATGTGATTATCATATACACATACCTTCTTCATCGTTCAACTTAGTGTTACATGCTTTCTTACACATTGCTCTAAAAGACATATAATAATCTGTAAGATCGTTGTCTGTTTTCTTATCAAATCTAGCAATACTCTTAAATTTCGTCCAATCGTATTGTGCCTTTTTCCTATCATAATTAACACCATACGTCGATACAACACGTAAAAATTCGCTTTCCTCGCGACGGGACCATTTTGCTTTCTGTTCTTCAATACGATTTCGTTCTCTTTCCTTCACCATAGCTTCCATTTTCTCTCTTCTCTCCATTTTCTGTATAAAATACAGAACGCTCAGATACAGTGTGCCTTAAATAACATTAAATAATATCTTAAACGTCGACTGCTCACCAAAAGATACATAGCAAGTTGTTGTAAATCCCAGCCTTGCATATTTAAAGGTGGTTCGTTCATAGGAGGAGTATGATTGATGGTTGTGTCTCCTTCCATTCCTGTTTTAGATTTTTGTAACATTTTCACATCGTCCTTTACGTTCTTTACACTTCGTTGATAAGACGATATAACTCGACGTAAACGTGTGTTGAGGTCAACCACGGAAGGCCAAGTCTTTTCATCGTCTAGCAGACCATCGTTTCCCTCGTGACTGCTGCTAGGTTCCGGTACAGGCGTGTCTGCCTTATTGGATATAGCAGGCGAATCAATCGGCGTTTCGCGACTAAATTTATCAGAATCTTTCAAATCTTTCATCATTCCAAGAGACTCGCCATCGTCCATGTCATTCTCCAAGCTAGTGTCGTCTCTGCTGCTGCTGCTGAAATTTTACGTATCATTAATTCACAAAAAACACAATTTTTTCCATGGTTTACGTTCAATTCCATTTCCACTAAAAAATAAAATCGTCTAATATTGTATGCACTCGTGAAAACAGATACATACTTAACTGATCATAAATATAACAGTTATTTCGAAAGTACAGTCTACGGGTACACAATATCAAAACTAACAAAAAAAAAGTCTTCCACGTTTACCATTTTAGAATGCTGTGTACATATGAAAAAGTTTTACATCGTGAACATAATATGTTACAAATATATACATTTACGATATGGAATTCGATCATTTAGAAGAAACGCTTAAGGATCACTGCATATTTTCTGGTGTATATATATACATATATGCGTAATCCTCCTTCACTGTAAATAAAGTCTGGTAGAAAAGTAACATTTTTAAAACTAGGTGAAAAAAATGACGAATAATTCACCTTCCTTGGCTGTTACATGTCGTTACAAATAAAATGAAAAGGTAGAGTTTACGCTGGTTCTAGCATAGGCATAAACATAAGCGAATTAAAAATGCGTGCCAAGCAGTGTATGTTAGAATGAATTAGCAGTAGCAACATAGATATGGAAGGAAATAAAAAAAAAACAAATAACGTAAAAGAGAACAATTACTCACTTGCTCTGTGTGGTCTGAGACTGGGAAGGGGGAGGGCAGCTTGTAATGAAAGAGAGAGCGGGATCGATCCTCATCTGCTCGTAATTCTCGTAGCCATGTTTGTAGCAGCCAACTATTAAGGATTTATCTGCTTGCGAGTCCCACCATTTCACTGGTCGTTCCGTCAACTGTGGAGGGTTTATCCGCAACGCACTGTAGGGCGGTTTCATTTACAATTTGCCAATTTATGTATGCCAATCAGATATTAAAGTTTACAAAAAATTTTGCACTTTTACGAATTTCGATAACTGCGAACCAATATATGATGTTCGCCGAGTAAACATAAAAAGAGGCTCGTTTTATTTAACTAAATTTAGAGAATCGGAATTAATACTAGTTTTAGTTTGTTTCTTTTTATTTTAGTCAAGGCAAATTACGTAATTTTTCTAACTTCCTATTTCGTTTGCCCCATCAATACAGTGCACTGCTTTTTTAATGTACTTCTTACCATGATACCGCTGACTTGACCATCTTTGACCATTTTACAGCCGTACGAAGTGTTGTTTACAGTAATTCGAAAAAATTGCGTGTATATTTGTGTACATGTTCATAGAACAGGATGGGAGGATTTTAATATTAGTAATGTAGGATCAGCAACTGATAGCTGTTTACAGAGCTACGAAGTAAAAACATAGTTTTAGCTCTATGAGCATTCCTCATACAATTACAGCTCCCAGGATAAACAAATACATTGCACATGCAACTATAAAGCTCTGTATATAAGCACATATGTAAGTGCACGATATTCCATGATAGTCAGTTGAGCAAAGAATAAATGAAGGTTCGTAAGTAAATATATATAAATGTATGTATATATTGTAGATACCAAAACACTAACCTGACATGAACACCGTCAGAAATGTGCTGAACTAAATCCCCGATGATCTCATGTTTAATATAGTAAAGCATTCGGACGCGTAGTAATACTCTGTAAATAAAATCATATTATTTAGACAGATTTGTAAATAGGAGCAGGCAATATTGTAAACGCAGGTGTATTCTCATTTTGAAAAATACAACATACTTATTCGCATGACGACTTAAATGTTTCCTGTAATTACTTTCCAGGAATATATCCCCGTCATACTTCTCAGCGTTACTCCAGTGATTCGGATCGGCTGGACCTCCGTTGACAACCGATCCCCGTGTTTCTCTACCTTCTCTGACCCGGCCCTTTTTCTTCTGTCTGCTGTTCCGCCCGCCAGTGTTAACGCACACATTCTTAACCTTTTCTCCATTCTCCACGGGCGTGATAAGATCCAAAATAAAATTCCGGATTTTCTCGTCGCCGCGATAGTAACGAAGGCAGTATAGCAGAATCACACGTGCACAGTCCTCCACGTCGATTTCGCGCCAGCCTCGACGAAACTGACTATGTTGAAGAATTTCTTCCCATCGACCCCAGCCGAACGTGAGCAAACCACGCTCCACTTTGAAGCATTCGCTTCGTGCCCAACTGCCATATACCACTTCACCTTCGCGTGGCACGTACTCGTCGCAGAATTTCCGTGTCTTCTTACCAAACTTGTCTCTTCGTTTTTTACCTTTTAATAATAATAGAGGAGTTTTTCTTTTTGTTTGTTTACCATGAACCTCAAACATGTAACACAGATAAATATCCTACTATGTACAGTGGACTCTAACTATATTGCCACTGAATATATTGCCACGCTAGGTACTTCCCCTTCACACGTACTTTCGAGCACACAATTTTGCTCTCCTACTTGTCACAATCCCACCTTCGCGCAGGCACTGAAACCGATGCTATCACGATAGAACTTAGTACCGAGGGGGCTCTGATCTTATTGCCATTTTACTTCCCTACAGCACCGACCATGGCAGTATAATAAGAGTCCACTGTAATGCCAAAAACATAAGTGTTCTGATGATAATGGCAGGCCACAGTACAGAAATGCCAGAAGAAATGTGAAGGTTTATCAAAGTGATACTTCGAAATATTTTCGAGTCGTAACACTTTCTTTTCTTTATGTTCCGTGTGAGGCTAAGAATATATGGATATTATACATGACGAAAAAGGGCACAAACTGAGTATTTGCTTTGCCATGCATTCACAATACAATAGAAAAAAACACCATGTTATGCTGCCATAGTTAATGTGTCAGTGTCTGTCTGATAATATTAATGCTGTAATCATTAGCATTATGGGCAAGCATGCATGTAAGTGTGTCCTACGTGTATATATAAAAGATTATTGCTCCCATATTCTGTAAATATTTACACATTTATTCTAGGATAAATCATTATACATTTGATACTGTTTTTACACGATAAATGCGTTTCTAAATCATAAAAACCAGTCAAAATAATACGATAAACTAATTAAGAATTTTTTTTTAATTAATAGCAATTTCCTAGAAAAATAAGTAGAATTTTTTTTGAATTAAAATGAAGTGAAGATTTTTAAAGTAAATTAAAAATGTTAAATCAAAAATATTGTCAAAAAATCCGTGTACAAACAGAATTAAATGCACATTTAAATTTACGGAATATAACTAAAAGCTAGATAAGAATAAATATTATTCTTTTGCATTTGCCTTTTTTTATATTCAAAATATCCTGTTATTTAACCGTAAACAATTATTTATAACTCTATTGTATTACAAAATCTTTCAACATGCAAGAATATTTTCTATAACAGTGATTTGATGAGCATGAAACGAATAATTTTCAAAATCTAATATAAAGCTTGAATATTTGTGTTTATATGTATGTAACGTATGTATGTAATGTTTAATACGAAATAATCATACGTCTCTAATATTTCGTAAACAGTGAAATGTTCGTCAAAAATATCGTTGAAACATATTTTCATATTGACATCTCAAAAAGAAACTCGTAATGGATTATTATTACATTGTAGATTCAGTGTTTAAAACATCTAGTATTTGTGTGTGTAAATAACTTGTACAACAATTGGAATATTGCCGTAGATTATGAATTTTTGTTATGACTGACAACTATATTACCATTTCGAAGTATAAAAAGGTCTGAAATCTCGGAACTAAATTGCGTAAATAGGGCAATACCTTCAGATTTAGTCGCAGATCATTTATCCACTCCAGGTATCTCACAGCCACGAAGTGATATATTTTATGAAATAATAATACTAAAAATGGTGTTGTGCTTTAACATGCGCCAACAATGAACATACCTCTACCTGTCAACCCACTACTTGTTTCATCGTCGCTATTATCATCTGAACTATCGAGATCCGACATGACAACCGATTCGTCATGACCGTATCGTTTAATTTGCGTCCTCCGTCTTGGCTCCGATATCACCAGTTCGTCCTCTTCTTTTTTCTCTGTCGTGTCGATTTCTGCTTTCTTCGCCCATTTCTTCCAAAAATCTGGATCGTCGATATTAATATCCGTTCTATTAGATGAACACGCGAAACTGGCCTTTGAGAACGTCGACCCTTTCTCCGCTTCTATGGTAATGATCTGCATTGAAAATTTTTCAATGTTAGCGCATCATAAGTAAAGAAATATAATTTCCTGATAAAGCAGTAAAATAGAAATCCAATCGACTCACTTGTGTTCTTCGTTCAAGTATCTGTTCTATATCTTCTTCGCAGAACTTATCTCCAGCATTGTCGTCATCCATAATAGCACCATAAGCACCTTTTTTTAATAGGTCCTCTATTTCCTTTTTAGTTAATTGTTTGTTACTAGGATCTTTACCCCCTTGACTCGTATTCATCGACTGTAAAATGGCTTTATCTAATCCAAGCTTCATTGAAGCTTTGTCAAACATTTCCCGTTCGTAAGTGTTGCGGCAAAGCAACCGATACACTTTCACCATTTTCTGTTGTCCAATTCGGTGACATCGTGCTTGTGCCTATATAACAAATATTTTGGTTAGATATAACAATCGAAGATTTAACCAATTCTCAAGCACCACTGAGTATAATATAATACCTGCAAGTCATTTTGTGGATTCCAATCACTGTCATATATAATTACAGTGTCAGCTGCTGTAAGATTAATACCTAGACCGCCAGCTTTGGTACAAAGCAGAAATACAAATCTGTCAGAATCAGGTTTACTGTAACGATCGATTGCGGCTTGTCGTAAATTTCCACGAATACGACCGTCAATTCTTTCATATGGATACCTAAACAGATTCATTAAATAAGTACGTCACTCATTGGTTGAATATTTTACCAACATATATATATATATACTTGTGTATATATATATATATATATTTGAAAAACAAATGAGAAACGAAATTTCTAATAAAACTTAGTGACATACTTTTTGTATAATAGGTAGTCTTCCAACAGATCTAAGCATTTCACCATCTGACTAAATATTAATACTCTATGTCCACTGGCTTTCAGTTTCGGCAGTAGCTTATCAATTAATACCATCTTCCCCGAACTGTTTACTAGTGCGTGATAGTAAGCCTCTGAATCTTCCTTCTCACCAGTCTTGTAATCCAATTGTATTTGATCTTCAGCGCCATTAAGTAGGAATGGATGAATACAACATTTTCTTAGTTCCATCATTGTATTCATGAGATTCGGAATGTTAGCTGATGTGGTTCCTTTCGCAAGGAAAGAGAAGTTTCGTTCTAGAATACCGCGATAATATTTCTTTTGTATATTTGTTAATTCCACCTAAACAAAAAAAACGAAAAACCATCATTGTAAATTATTAATCAATTTTATAAAAAGATGTTAATTAGTTATTACAATCACCTCAACAACAGTTTCCTCTTTTGGAGCTAACGATTTCTCAACATCCTCTTTAAGTCGACGTAACATCATTGGCTTCAAAAGAAGTTGCAACTTATGAACTTCACTTTCACAACTCAAATTCCCGAATTCTTTAAGGAATGCTTCGCTACTAGAGAACTGAAGTGGTTCAAGGAAGTTCAGTAATGAAAAGAGTTCGTTAACATTATTTTGTAACGGTGTGCCAGATAAAAGCACTCTATGTTCTAAATTTAATTGCCTAAGACCCTCCAGTAACTTGCAATTTCTATTTTTTAGCCTATGAGCTTCGTCTATAACACAAAGCCTCCAGTTATATCCTTTTAATTCATTAAAATCTGTTATAATTATTTCAAATGTAGTTATCAGTACATTAAATTTGATTAAATCTTTAATCTGCTGTCCTTTGTCGTTTTTGTAATAAACTTCATATTCCTGAAGCATAGTCCGACTTGCTGCGCTATAAACAAAAAAACAACCACGTGTAACAAAAAGCATTCTATTCTCAAAAATACGGAAAGCTTGTAATTTTCTAATCAACTTACGATCCATGATATACTACGACATTCATGTCGGTCCAACTTTCAAATTCACGTTGCCAATTCGGAATGGTTGAAAGTGGCGCAATTATTAAAAATGGTCCACGAATTCCATACTTGTACACCGAGTCCACGAATGTTAAGGACTGAATAGTTTTTCCTAAACCCATTTCATCCGCAAGAATACAATTATGCCCGTTATACCATGAAAACAACAACCAATTGAGACCTTCTAATTGATACGGTCGTAAACTATTGTTACTTTTGTAAATTGGTGACTCATCCAATTTTACCCATTGAGATGCGGTTGGTTTCTTCTTCGGCTAGGGAGAAGATTTATATTTCGTTAATAACAAAGAGCAGGTATTTAATAATTAATATCGACAAAAAATGATCAAATTATTTGATCGTAATGTATTACCTTCCACTGATCTTTCGGAGGTAATTTATTAAATTTTGCAAATTGAGCTATCTTTTCTGGATCGACATCTTCTTCTAACTCCCAAGTAGAGTCCTCGTATTGAAGAGATCGCCATTTAACTAAATAGTGTTTCAATGTTTCTCCACTTGTTGGATCAGTGTGTGTTGCCTCGTCCAGTACTCGATCGACTTCCACAAAATCCGGATTAAATGGATCATCTTCAGTCTGAAAAAAAATTACAGATTGTCCTTTGTTCATTGCACACAATTTTCGTCTTAACACTTAGCCAAACGAATGGGGAGATCTCCCCAGTTTGAAGGTTATGCTTTGCGCACGCGGTTGGCTAAGTGTTAACTCTTACTACCATTAACAATTTCAAATTACTATTCGCACGAATACTAAAATTATTGAACAATGTAATGAAATGCCAGTAATTACATTCTCGAAAATATTGGTGTTTTGTTGCTGCCTTTGCTTGAACCTTTTCAGTTTGGCTTGGATTCGTTTGTCACCCTTATACAATTCTTCTTCCGTTCTCCACTCGCAATGCAAATATGAAAAATTTCTATATTTAACGAAATACTCTTCTACTTCTACTATTAGGGGTTTCACTTCAGCCACAGCATCTTCTTGCTTGGATTCGGTCACCTCTTCTTCTTCTTCTTCCTCCTCCTCTTTACTCTTTTCTTTTACAACGTTCTCTTCAGTGTCACTGCTGCTTTTTTTTTCTTCCGATGTTTCATTGTCTTTCTCATCTTTATTCTCTGTTTCGGATTCTTTCTCGGATGCTTCTTCCTTTGTGTCAGTTTCTTCGTCCTTATTCTTAGTATCGGATGCTGCATTTGATGCATTATCATCCTTCTCGGTTGACGATTCCGCCTTTACCTCTGGGGCTGGTGGCTTAATTTCTCTTTTTCCCATACGGGAACATAATATGTGCTGTACTACCATAGAATCTTCATCCGTTGTATTCTGTAAATACGAATATTATTTCAAATTTTGTGCTTAAAATTTTAAATATATTAACAAAGATATTACACAATCCACGATACATACTATATACACAAAATTAGGCTTATTTGGCCCAACATCGCCACCTTCGTTCTCTTTTTTCACAGAAACAGGTTTTGCTGCGTTCACACCCTCAACTTTTTTCGAAAGCTGAGCATCTTGAAGAGGTACATCGTCGTCAGAGAATCTAAGCATCACATCATCGACATACTTCTTACGATGCGTATTTCTCGCAGAACGCCTTTTATTGTCATCGCCAGCTTCCGGTGATGGTGGCGGTGTAGCTGCTAGTTCCTCACCATCAGAGTCAGGTGCAATTCGACTTTTACGTTTTCTACACAAATTAATAAAGAAGTGAAAGCAAGTATTAACTTCTCATATAGACCTGATATAATTAAAAAATGGATTGATGCATTTTAATAAAACTTACTTCGCACTTCTCGGTGATTTTCCCGCTGAGACTTTCCCAACACTGGATCTTTTTCGTGCAGCAGCCTTCTTTTTATTAGGAGTAGCAGTTTCTGTAGCAGGAGCAGCCTCCGAATTCTCTTCTTTCTTGTCATCCGTAGAGTTATCTTCCGATTCCCCTTTTTGTTTACCTTCTTCTTTCGTTTCAATTACTAAAGGTTCGGTAGTAGAAGAATCCACTTGTTCTTGATCACCTTGAATGGACGGTTCAGACGGTTTTGCATCTGCTTCCTTAACTGCACTTGAATCTGAAACTGTCGTTTCTTCTGTCTCTTGTACAACTTCATCGTCGGCCGATTCAGACTGAGTGGCTTTTCTATAAAGGTACAAAATTTTCAGTGAAATAGTTACATTAATAAAAGTAACACATCAAGAAATAATGTTACTGTACAAGGTAACTTACTTCCTGTTACGTTTCGTTGAATCCTTGTCTTTATTTCTCTTTCTCGGTGCTTTAGGAGATTTCGCTTCCTTCGGAGGTTTCGGCTCCTTCTTAACTTTCGGTTCTTTCGGTTCTTTTGGCTCTTTCGGTTCCTTCGGCTCCTTCGGTTTACGTGGTTTCCTAGGTGGTCGAGACTTTCTACCTTTATTCCATTCTTCCTCCATATCACCAGACGATGGCTTAATGTCCTCCGAGTCGGCCGCGCTATCAACAATATTACTACTATCTCCAGGTGTGACTTGATTGTCTGATACCGGTTGTTCCGGCTGTTGCTGAGTAATCGGCGCAGGAGCAACGGCTTCTTTATCAGCTTTCTTCCGACTTTTTTTAGTTCTTGGTGTACCTTTACCACGACCACGACCAGTGGTACTTGAAACCTGAAAAAGGATATCGAACAACACTTCAGTTATGTCTTATTCTCGTTTACAAATCAACGAAGTGCAAAAGCAAAAAACAATCGACAACTCACCTGCGGACTATCAACTACAGCGGCTGTAAACATAGGAGTTTGTAATATGCATTGAGGTCCACCGTTACACTGGTCATTAGTTTCATGTTGCTGTAATGCCTGTAACTTTTCTTGTAGAGCAACAATCTTCTCTTGATTCTCGGAAGCTGGAGGCATACAGTACAATTCTTGCAATTGCTGTTGCAACGCAGCCCTTTCTTGATGGTGCGTAACAGGGGTACAAGAAGTACCAAAACCAGCCGATGTAACTCCAGCCGATGTAACTCCTGTCGATGTGGGATTTTGCGGTATATTATACATAGTCGGTAAGGTACTACCACTGACAATGTCGCCACCAGGAGGATATTGCTGACCAGAACCCACAACCATTTCGTTAGGGTATATATTATTTTTCGGAATGTTTGTGTATTCCGTGAAACCTGGCTGAACTTGATGCGGTGGTGGCGCATTCGGCACTGGTACTGCAGCCTGAAGAGGAGGCAGTACGATACCAGTGGTCTGGTTAACCGTAGGTATTTGCTGGCCATTTAAATGCGTCGGTGGTACTGGATTAGTTTGAGTTGGTAACTGTGGCGTCGGGTTTTGTACAGAGGATTGCAACTGTGGCTGATGCGGTATCTGGGGTGGAATTAATGGCGGATTCTGAGGCATTATAGCAACTTGCGGGGTCATGAGAGGCTGAGATTGCTGTGTCGTCTGTACTTGCGTTACACACGGTGGAGTCGGCTGAGGTTGTGACGGCTGTTAGAGGTGGTGGTGGTGGTGGTGGAGGTTGTTGTTGAGGAGTATTTATCTGCTGAATCTGCTGTTGATTCAGGGGCTGTTGCGGAGGAGGTTGTTGACTCATCTGAGGTTGTTGTACCTGACTCATTTGCGGTTGTTGCGGAGGCTGCAACGACTGCTGAGATTGTACTGGAGATTGCTGTGTTGGTGCTACCGTGGGTGGATTCATATGCATTTGTTGTACCGGTTGCTGCGGACAATTAATAGGTTGCTGTTGTGGTGCTGTTTGACTACTAACAACCGCGGGTTGCTGAGAAATTGTCGGCGTAGTATTGGCCGGCGGACGATTCGCTGAAGTTATCTCTAAATGTTGATCGTGCTGGTTCGTATCACAAGTGTTCTGACTTTCAATCGTAGGTACAGGATTCGGAATTTGACTCGGCGCTGGTTGTTGGGGTAACGTTGGTACAGTCGAACAATCAACGTTTCCATTTGTACTGGATGCTGGTAAAGTCTGTACAGTTTCCATTTGAGTGATGGTTCCGGACGTGTGTTCCAAAGGTGAATTATTCTGTGAGCTATTCTGCATCAAAGTGTCAGCCTGCTGTTGATTCAGCACATCCTGCTGTTGATCTTGTACATTCTGATGCAGTACCTCGTTTTCCTGTTTAGGTGGCTCGATCGGGTTATGAATAGGATCCGTAGACTCTCTGGTCGTAGCTTCCGCAACGCTGTGAATAGTTTCTGTTCCAGTCACCGGAAACATCGGTGCGCTCGGTTCGGATGCTGGAGGTTGAACTTCTACTATATTTCTATCTTCATTTATACTTGGCCTTATTTGCGGCTGTTGTTGTTGCGGATGCGACCACTGAGCAGGCAACGGCATTCTGGGACCTGTGATAGGTGGCATCGAATTTTGTGCGGTAGATTGAGATAATACAGTTGGGGTTTGAGGCATCGCTGGACGTGGTTGAAACTGATTGTAATCCTGATTCGGAACGTTCGTGTTCGTTGCGGCAACGCCTGGTATCACCATTTGTTCCAATGCTTGAAGAGTAGTTTGTTGAGAAGATGAATTGATCTGCATTGCAGCCGGAGGACAAGGTGATACGGACATTGGACCAGGTTGGTTTGATGGTTGATGCGGAAGTTGAACATGAGGATGGGGAGACAATGTATTAGGTTTGGCTGGCGACATAATCGGTCTAGGAGACATCTGTTGCTGTACTGCCGGCGGTCTTGGCGACATCTGAGGCCTAGGAGACATTTGTGGTGACAGTTGGGGAAAAGTTGCACGGTATTGAGGACTCGTGGCATGTTTGGCCGTGCCGAACTGCGTGGTCGGTCCAGAATGTTGTGGCTGATTGAACATGGAGCTCGCATGATGAGGATATTGCGGGTCCATTTGTGGTTGTTGTTGCTGTTGTGTATTGGGATGCTGTGAATGCTGAGGATATTGCTGAGGGTGCGAAGGATGCGTCTGATGACTCGGATGAGAAGGATGATGATGCGGCATCCTTTGCGGAGGCTGCTGAGCTTGCTGCTGCTGTTGCTGCTGCTGTTGTTGTTGTTGCTGCTGCTGCTGTTGTTGTTGTTGATGCATGGCAAAACCTGGATAACCAGGAGAAGTTTGATACATCGATACAGAATTTCCTTGCTGGTAATGCTGTTGCTGCCCAACCATGTGCTGATAAACACTTCCTGTTCCACCAGCTTGCATCGCTTGATGCGGTACCCCCATATTTCCTATCATACCTTGTTGATTACCAAAATGTTGCTGCTGTTGTTGTTGCTGTAACTTTTGATTCATAACTCCACTTTGGTCTTGTTGATGAGAATACTGCGGAGGCATATGTTGTCTATAAGTAGCAGGTTGCGGTGCCATCTGATTATAATGTCTTTGCATTTGTGGATAAGCACCACCACTACCCGGCCAACCTTGCATACTTGGATCCATAGACATATTTGCTCTAGTCATTGAATGCTGCTGTTCCATTGAATACATATTATCATTATAATTAGGATATTGTCCTCCACTTCCAGGATGAGGCCCTCTATGTTGCGGTGCCATGTTCCTCGCTTGATTTTGGAAGGCTCCCGGCACCATGGCACGTTGTGGGGCGCCACTATCGAACGTTCCAAGATTTTGATTAAACATGTTGCGTTGTTGCGTTGGATTTTGTAATTGATTAGAACTTCCAAATTCAGATCCGCCGAATGAAGTTAATTTTTGAAGCGGAGATTCTTGAGATATATAAGATTGACTAATGTAACTCCCTCCTCCATTAACGCCAGGGTTTGAACCATCTCTAGATACTACCACAGAGTTATTCGAGCCTGCAGGGTCAAAATGATCGTTCCCCCCGAGGTCAGGAAGAGCATCGAGCATCGAGCCACTAACATCTTCGCCAAACAGATCGTACGAGTCCATGTCTACGCCGCAGGACTCTTCGCCTCTATTTCAGGCTTAAGAGAATATCGTATAGTCTCTTTTATAGTCATTAACGTGCCCATTGTTGATCCGCGTCTTTTTTGCCTGGAACAATGTATAAAAGAATTCATATTACGATTGAAAAGTATACATTTGTTTTTGATAATTCTCTGCTGAATTACTTTTAGAACTATTTTAATTATCAATTTTAATTACTTCGATACAAACTTCTCCGATGACAATGACAAATGCCAAAGGGGAAAAGCTATACGCTTATGACTCAATTTTACATAATCGCTATAACCTTTCCCTCTTGGAACATGTCCTCATTTGTAGCATTATTTCCAATCATATTAAACATACCCTTAAATGAAATTCATAATATATAAATACTTATAAATCATGTTTTCCTATAAATGAAACTTATTAGCAATTTTCTGTTTCTCGTATGTATACACTTCACAAACAATGAATAATATTCACAGAACATATATAACATGCACATTTTTGAAAGCTTTTATTACAAAGACAATCACATAATTTCATATACATAGCTACATTATGTAGTTCTATTCATTCCTATCATTTTAATACTTATGAAATAGTTTCAACTAAACTGTTTATCTATATAAAAGAATAGATGTAAGTTTATAATGACATACAAGGTAACTATAAGGTCTCTATCTATTTTATAGGAATTGTTAAAAGTTACAAACTTCTAAGGGGATGTTCCACATGAACATCAATGATATGACTACAAATCTTAAATAGGTCACTTGTTTTGTGGAAAATATTTTCTAGCATCTGTAGAATAATCTGTGCCATTGCTGGTATAATGCGATATCTCAGCACTTGCAAATTCTCAAGTCGTCTGCGATACATGTGAGCTTTGAGAAAGATTTAAGTAAAAATGAATTTTTTTTAGTGCAATTAATTGAAGAAATTGTTGTACGTGAAAATATTCCTGCAATAACATCGCCTTGGAGTTTTGTTCCTTTCTCAACAATTTCCACAAAATAAAGAAGGACTTTGTGAACACCCTGTATGTTTCCATATTACTTTTATTCTTTTTCTCCAAAGTAATAAAAATTTGTTCTTGAACGAACATAGATAAAAAAAACACAAGCATAATAAATTAAAGTTGTCACTGTTGTACCTTAATAATTGTTACATTTACTTTTTTCATGTTACTGAAACTATGTTATGTAAAAATTCATGTTTTTTTCCTTACTCAATAATTTAGTTCTGTTGCAGCATACTGAAATTCTGTTTCATATATTAACCAAATTCCGTACCTAATGCAATTTTCAATACAGTTAACATAACCTAACATCGAAGAACAAGAAGTACTTAACTGCAAAACGAACAATATAAAATATGAATAAATGACATAATAAAAGCTAAAATTTATACATATACACGATTCTAACGTTTCAAAACTCTACAAATGTAAAAATTAGAATACAAAGAACTCATTACATAGCTACATAGTGGAACATAAAACAATTACAAGCAATGATTGTATTATAATTATAATACTATGTAAACGATGTAGAAATATTTAATATACATAAAAAGAATCAACAGAGGCACACATTAATTTTTATCAAAATCACTGCATATTTAGCAAAAGAAATTTTAACCTAATGCTTTATTCATTCAAAGAGTATGCCGGAAATTCGAACCCATTAAAGAATGAACAAAAAGCTTCAGAATAAACAAAAATTTCCAAAAGTAACAATATGGTATTATCGCACGCCGCTACAATTCGCGGAACCAATACGTAAAACCGAACCGAATATTCGCTTAAAGAAATTCATAAACAGAAAAATAGATGAGAACAACGAAAAAAACACCTTACAAACCTGAAGCACTGACAGCGGCACTAAAACGTACGAAAGAATATTCTCGTTCTCATTAGGAAACGAACTGAAATACACACATCGAGTATATATTACAAGGGTGAACAGAAAGAAACTGGCAAAGACGGGTATAGAAAGTTCTCACACTTTATTTCGAACGTATTTTATCGTCGAATATTCGCCCGTGGTCTCGGTAGTGGATCGTGCACACGGAAAAGCATAAATACGAGCGTGGTTAGAGGATCGGGAGCGAGTCGAGACGACTTCGTGAAAAAAAAACACGGATCGTCGGAAAGTACGCCATTATCGTGAGAGATTTCCGTTTGGGCTTCCGAGAGAACTCGTAGCGGCCACCGCGACGCTCGATATTCCAGCTAGCAAAGCGTCACTTCACTTCACCACGATTCACTCTTCCCTCGTGTATTTCGTAAGAACGGCGCTCGAAATCCCTAATACCGTTCAATGAAAGTGGTTACGTGTTAATGTTTTAACGAAAAACCACCCTCGTTCGCGCGCGCGTTCACACGATTTTCACCAACGGTGGCTGCGGCTGCGGCTGCGGCGGCACGGACCGTCGAGGTGCAAGCGTGTCCATAGGTCCGAATCATTCTACACATCTTTGCCCCCCTCCCCCTTCCCTTCCCCCTGCCCGTACCCAATTCCCCCGCCGACGGTTCACAAACGAAGGACTACTCTCTTCTCTCTTACCCTACCATCTATCCTATCCTGTCCTGTCCGACGGAGGCCGCTACACACACCAGTTACACATCGTAACATCTGTAGAAACTCACACACAGGGCCACCTTTCGCATCATGCGCGCACACTCACTCACTGCACCACCTGGTGGCGCGCGCATCTCCTCTTCGCCACTTATAAAACGTTCGTGCATGCACACACGTGTGTAACCGTATACACGAAGAAGCAGTAAGACGTTCCGAGTTGCGTTCGGGTTGATTAAAATCTTCGTTTCATTACGCCCGACTACACACCAGGCCAGGAGATTCAACACAATTTTATTCGAATAATGCATCGCGAAAAGAAGAGCAGCATTTAAGTTTCACTGTGACGTTCAAATGATTAATCCGATCGGGCAGTTGTTTGGTTATGTAGTCTACTCGTCGAGGAAAGAATATTGTTATTTTTAAAATTGATACTTTCATGTTTAATCATCGCAAAATTAGCAACTACTTGCCTATCTTCTATCTGTTATTGAACTCTTCACTCAGATAACGCGTTTACAGCGTATACCTTTTCCCTTTATCCTGTTTTAATGTTAGGTCGTTAAATTCGGACTCAGTGAATGTTTAAATACGATTTATTAAGAATCGTATTTAGAAATTTAATAAGAATAAGTCATTTCTGATTATTGTGTATGCATGGAAATAGTACTATAAATACAGTAGACTGAGTGTTCTCTTATCAAATATATTATTAGCAAAATCAAAAAGAAATAAAAACCTTCTCCTATACCTTTTCATCAATGGCCAACTACTGAATGCACTACAAATACTTGCAGTATCCACCACATGATATTTAAGAGAAAACAAACTATGTTATTAACGAAAAAGTATCGACCTGCACAGTTATACTTTTTCTATGCAGATCAGTTATTCGAAAAATTTCTCTTCCATAGTTCCCAAGATATTTAAGGTGATACATTTAATGGTACACCCTTGTATAACAAAACGATACGATTATCGAATACGTAGAATTGATCGATATTTTGATGCATTATATCGATGGTGAAAACCATCAATGGTCAGAACAGACAGTCTATCGTGGGTCACCGATGACCCACTAACCACGGAACGTGTTAACGCGAACAGCGGATACTCGTACATTGCTCAAAATCAGAACAATTAGATTCTTTCACAAGCACTTTTTACAAATTTATTAATTTTAATATATATTCAATTTGACCATTTTTATTTTGTTTACGTATTTTGATTTACACTCTTACATTTAAATAATTTACTATAAACCTTTCTGTCTTTGTATGTTTCCAATTAAATTTAAAACAATAATATTCGTAGTATTCATGACAAAACAATGTTAGGTGATAATATCGTATGGAAAAGATGTTAGTCTATCTATGATCTAAAATTAATTTCAATCGACAATTTTTATACTGAAGAGACAACTTTTCACGTGTAAATTAATTTTTGAAAGGCTTCCACAGATTGTTATGTACACTGTCACTTTTTTAATTAAATCAATTGAAATATCGAGACTGATACCAGAAAAATAATGGGAAAAATGAATTCGACAGACCGAAAATGATCATATTAGCATTTAACGTCGTTGAACGCCGGTTCGTGAAATGTAGAGGTAAAAGTGTGTCATCAATGATTAAGCCGAATCAAAGATATAGACGGTACGAGTCAACTGTATTTGAATTGTGACTGTAGAATTTCTTACTTTCTTTGAATTTTTGAAAATTAAAAATGTTGCACTGACAATGTTTTCCATATTTGATAGAGATTAACAAAATATGAAAAAATAAAGGTGTTTCTGATGATCCAGAAACTCAAGGACTTGTTATTCAGACAGAGAACGCGTCATTAAAAAATAAGAAATATACTACATATATCTGGAAATATATTATAAAGTATCTCAAAATTTCTCAAACTTTTATAGCGTTCAACTTTTGCATTATTAAAATGCAATTTCTGTTTAATATGTTACTTAGAAAAGTTATTTAGTACAGCAGTAATTTCCACCTCTTGTATTTCAACTGAACACTCGACGGAAGATTAAAATGCAAGGCTTCCCTGCATTAAAGTTCGTTAAAGGTGCGAAAATTCCGAATTCACTACAGTCGTCATTGTACAACCCGTATACAATGAATATAATTGTTCAAAACATACTTTTAAATAAGCGGTGGATCAATAAAAAAATTCTTTAAATATCAGTTTAATGAGAGCATTCTAATTTTACTTCTATTTTATTATATTTTGTGGGTTGCAATGCGCTATAAATACATGAAATCCACAATCTGTTTATTACAAGCGAAAAGAAAAAGTTTTAAATGACCAAGAGTATCAGGAAATCGATAGAGATACCGTACAATTTTTATTATTGATTACCGTCGGTATTTTGACTATTAACACATTTATTCCAACATATATTTTAATATAGTATAACATGTTTC